GATAGATAGATAGATAGATAGATAGATAGATAGATAGATAGATAGATAGATAGATAGATAAAAGAATAAAATAGAAGGAAAGATGGTAGCAATCAAGAAAGAATGCGTGGAGGCCCCACCAAGGCCGCAAGATACTTGATATCCGTTCTCAGAGGAAAGCTGGAAAGGTTAGGAGTGACTCTTACTTGAGGCCTCGATGTTCAAAACAGAAACTGAATATCATAAGTTTGTTCATGGGAGAATGGGAAGTGCAAACCACAAAAACAGTCCAAGTTAGCCATCAGAGCAACTGGGATCTGAGCTGAGTGTAAGGTATAGAGCAAATGAGAATGGGAAAAGTGGGGAAGACACGGGCAATTAAGAAACAACCTAACATATTCAATGGTAGAATAAGTTGCTGGTTGCCCAGCTGCTAACTGTGCATGGGCAAAGCAACACCCACGGTTGTCAAATAGGTACCCCAGCTATTTGAAAAGATAACATTCTTGAATGTAAACCATTTTCTCATGAGTTTGGACATACGAGGTATACCAAGAAAATCACATTAAGTTTGAGACCATGTGGGATAATGGCCCCTGCCTCCATGCCAGCCCTATCCAGAGAGCTTAAGCTCTCACCTGGCACCACCCAGCTCTGCATCTCTATGGGATCTTTAGAAATTCAACATTTGAACCAGCATCACCCATCTTTCAACTTACATGTAGTCTCATATATTGCCTCTCCTTGAATGTCAGCTCCGAAGGAATGGCAACCATCTAGTTCATTTTCTCTCTTACTGAATCCAATACCATGAGCTCGGATTTCTCAAGGGTATGGAAAATATTATCTATTGCATAGGTCCTGGAACACTTAACTCAACTGTTAACTCCAAGTTAAGATTTTATTTTACTTTTATGTGTGTGGGGGCTTTGCCTTCACGTATGTGTGCACCATGTGCATGCCACGCCCACGGAGGCCAGAAGAGGGTGACAGATCCCTAGCAGACTGTTGTTACAGGCTGGTGAGCTACCATGTGGATGCTGGGAATCAACCCAGGATCCTCTAGAAGAGCAGCCAGTGTTTTTATCTCATGAGCCATCTCTCTAGAATCCAATTTTTTACTTCCTGAGGAAAACTTTTAAGCCCTGAATTCCTTCTGGAAATACATGGAAGCTGAGCTAAGTAACTTTAAGACACTTCTGAATTGTAACTATCAGGATAATGATATATATATATATATCGCTCTATCTACAAACTTACACATACATATATACATGTATGGGAGGAGTCAGTCTTGATTAGCACAAATGCCATGATGAAATGAATTATTTTGTACTGTAGCTTAAAAAACGTAATTTAAATCTTCTTGATTGGCAGGTTGATTGGGTTGGTATGCATACTGGCAATTAGCAAACCCTAGCTCTGGATACGTCTGTGAGAAGACTTGCAGGAGAGTTAACTAAGAAAGGAAAGCTTGTCCTGCGTGTTACTGGCACCATTAAATAGGCCAGGGTCCCAGGAAGAATAATGGGAGAATAGATGGAGGGAGCTCAGAGGCTTCTCTTCCAACCTCCAGTCACCCTGATGGGAACTGCTCTTCCCATGTGCCCTCCCCAGGAGGATGGACTAAAGCTTCAAACAGAAATAATCTTCCTTTCCTTAAGTTATTTGGTGAGAGTATTTTGTCATGGGAATGGAACAATGCCACGTTTTATAACTTACCATTTCTAATGTGTCACTGCACACAGAAAGTAGTTTTCAGTGAACTGCCTCCAATATAGATGTGTGTAAGTTGAGAAGGAACATATAGATGCGTTTCTAACATTTAATATAAAGTATTGGTGTGGTGAACCTTTAATAAAATATACAAGAGAAGCCTGTTATTCAATTTTTCTTGGGGTAAATTTTATAGTCTCTGGAATCATTTTGTAACATAATAATAACTCTTTAATTTAACCCATTAGTGAAGCTTCACATTTTTTTTCATATATCAGGTTTACTCACAATAAGGGAGCCAGATTAAAAAGCTTAGAGTAACAAGGGAGGCAAATGACTTAGCATCACTATGGCTTGGAAATAATGTGAGTGTGTCTCTGCATTTCATGTGTTGAAAACATGGTATTCAGTGCAGCAATGTTAGGAACAGGTGAAACCTTGAGAGTGGGGTCTGGGGGGAGGTAGTCAGGTTATTGGAGTTGCCGACCTGGAGGAAGTTAGTGAGGTCTCTGTGGATGTCCGTTAGTTCTTGCGAAGGAAGGCTGTTAAAAAGCAGACAAACTGCGCACTCTTCACCATCTGGCTTTCTGATTCACCATGTGACCTCTCCTTTCTATGATGTGGCTCAACTAAGGGGATCCTCAGCAAGGGCCAAACAAAAGGAGCTGCCCACTCTTGGGCTTCTAGTTTCCTAAACTGTGAATAAAATATCTTTGTCTTACACACTACTCAGCACTGGGTATATTGTTACAGCAACAGAAAAAAAAAAAAAAAACAAATACAAATATTGAATAGATGAGATTGAGCACTGTTTATACAAAGAACTTTTCTTCTTTCTACAGTTTCTTTCTCTTCCCCTCTGTCTGTCCATCCACACTTTGTCCCTGTGTCTTAAATTTAAACTTTGGCCGACTGTGACTCATAATGCTATGACTAAACTTTTTCCTTTCCAGTACCTCTTTTCACCCCCATTCCCATTGTTTAGCCCCATGCCTCACCAGTTTTAAGAACAGGGATATGTCCCACGATGTTTGGATCATCCACAGTTTCTATTTCCTTCAAGAGATCTGCCTTTGGTTGAAGCTTTGGTATGATCATGCTGGAAGTTGATGCTTCCTCAGCTGAGAAGCAATGGCTATAGGTCACCCTCAGGGTAGTATTCGGGGAGGGAATGCTCCTTACACTTTTAGTTTCCCTAAGAGGCTTAGCTATTCAAAACTTCCTTTTCATAAATATGGTGAAGAGACAGAAGAGAAGTGATGATTTTTCTCAATAACTAGTATACTACCTCCAAAGAGTCTATCCCCTTGATAACAACAGAGGCAGAGCAGAACTTGTTACCACTGATTAGAGAAGAGAAGACCAGCTTCGTCTGGATCTTGACTTACGGTTGGGCATGCCTACTGCAGTAACAACGACTCCCACAAGTGAGCCCAGCTAGATTAAACCAATCTAAATTAAATAGAAATCAACACCCATCCCGTGCTCCATAAATCTTTTTCTCCCTCAGCAATCAAGTCTTCCGTATCTGCCTGGGATAAAGATAGCATCTCTCCAATGCTTGTACAAAGAAAAGACACAACACAGTGACAAATATTTTTCAGACTAGGAATAGAAATAAGCAGTTAAGTTGACCCCTTCAGTCTACAATTATAGGAGCTCTCATCCTGTATGCTCCTAGAGAACACACCCTTTGTAACAATCAATGGTACCTGTGTGCTGAGTGGTCCTGACTACTCGGCCAGCCTGAATCACACACATGAAAATTTTCAGACGAAATTCGTCTTTACGCATGGCTATTTCCTAGAAATAAAGAGTTTAATCCAGATAAATAGTTCTGTAGAATAATTAAAGTGTCAAAGGTTGACATGGTCTAGGTATTCTTAATACTGTTGGGTTTTAGGACTTGGCCATATAAAAATATCAGCCAAGAAAGTGATATAAATATTCTACTCATATATACAGCAAGCCAGGCTCCCCTGAACAAGGAAGTTCAGGTTCTTATGCTGAGAGGAAGGAAAAGGCTGGTAGCTTTCGGAGGCTTTCCCTCCTTCAAGACTGAATTCAGACATGCAGTCAACCGGGTCTGTAATACCCAGAGGTGAAACATCTCTCCAATGCTTCTAAGTAGGGTCTGGGCCAGAGGCTTACTAAATTAAGAAGCTTGGTAAATAATTTGAATGAACAAACAAAATTTCCCCCATATTCTCTCTTTAAAAATCTGGCATAGATTACATGTGTGAGCACCATAAAAGATTATTATTTTAAATTCCTCCAGTTTTGTATGGTTCTGCGTGTTAACAGTCAAAGCTAAGTTGTTCCCAAAGTTTCTCTTCCCAGTCTCTGGTCTCTCCCCTAGCCCCACTTCCTGTGATCAGTCAAGCGTGCCAAGATGCACACTAATTTTCAGAAGATACAGTTTGAAATCGAGTCCTCAATTGTCAGGGAAGGCACAGGTTTCCAAACATCTAAGGCCACAGCGAAAAGCTGCCATGGAAACCTGAGCTTAAAGAAAAAAAAGAAAAGAAAGAAAAAAAAAAATCAAGGAACGGAACCAGAAGACAGTGGGTACGGAAGCCGAGGGACAGAGAAAAGCAAAGGACGGCGGACGCACTAACAGTACTCCAAGAGTGAGGAGAAAAAGCCCAGTCTGACAAAGTGACAGGGAGGTTAAGACGAGAGGCAAACGCTCCCTTAGCTTCTCAGGCCTCGCCACTTCGCGCAGGCGTTCCGCAAGTCTGTAACTCTGCTCTTTGACCTCTTGCCCCACCCCTTTTCCTCCTCGGCGCCCGCCAAGTCTTCCGGTACTGTAAAGACGGTTCCGGTTCACGGAGGTTCCCGGGCTTTACGGTCCGCGCCCGGCCGGAAACCCCTTTGCCGAGCAGCCGGTTCCGGTTCGGTGAGTGGCGGCGGGAAACTGGGGGAGGGGTGAGGATGGAGGGAGACTGGGCCGGGAGGCTGTGTCGGACCGGGCCGGCTCGCCTCCTCCGGGCCGAACCGAAGGGAAGACCGCGGTGGGGACAGTGCTGTTTCTTCCGCCCCGCCCCCTGGGACCACCTCCACTCCCCCCTGCTGTCCGGTGGCGGCTGTCTAACCCGGGGCTGGTAGTTGGGCTTCCTGAGGCCGTCCCTTCAGGCGTCTGTCTCCTGACCCACGGAGAAGCCATCTCCTTGCGGTCACGGCAGGCCCTTCTCAGCGCCCAGCTCTACTTTCCCAAAGAGAAAAAGGCCAGTTGGGATTCCGTGAGTTTCCCGCCAGAGCAGGGTCCTTTGGAGGGAGAGCTCGGTTCGCCAAGGAAGTTGAGCTTTCAATCCCACCTGCTTCACCTCTTGTCTTCCTTGAGACCTGAGTGATACTTCTTGGCTACTTCTGTGCCCCGCGTCCACAAACCTCCAACTCTTTTACCCTGTGCTATTTCCCTGAGATGTGATATCGCTGGTGCCACCACCAGAGAGAAACGTCTGGACCCTTCTGCACAGGTTATGAAAACCCCCTTAACTGCCACAGTTTTCTTACCTGGCTCATCGCCTCTTGGTAATTGCCTTGAACCTTTTCTTCGTGTACCCTAACGTGATCTTTCTGGATATGTGCTGGGTTTCCCTTGTCCTGAGCTTGGTGATTTCTGTTTTATCAGTACCTCTACAGTTTTTCTCTTATCTTGTTGGCACTAACTCGCTCTTTTATCGCGTTTAAGTCACACTTGTTAAAATTATTTAATTCATGTGGCGTACTTGCTGTGTTTGGAGTGGTGGTGATTCTTGTAAAAATTTGTATAGTCCTTTTATAGGCTATCAACTATTTGACTTAGGGGTTTTCGCTGTAATCGGAAATTCTGGATGAAGTGGACATGTGTAGATATTCCTCGTAGAGATAATTTTTATTCAGGACCCTCAGTGACATGTGGATTACTGCCTTTGAGGCTACAGTGACACCTTAATAAATGACTTTAACCTTGCAATTAAATTTCCTGTCCCTCAGTCCCTTTTAAAGAGCTTCATTCATTTTTCCTGGTTTCAGTTAATTATCCGAACTGGTGAATATCTTCTCATACATCTGATCAATTAAATCTAGAGAGGGAATGAATGAGTGTACAGACAGGCTCTGCCACTTGTGGCTAGGTGATGTAATTTTTATTCTTTCCCCAACTGCTCTTGCTCCTACCAGTTGTACCAGTTTTGCTGGATCTGTGAATAGATCTGGCTTGCTCTTCTAGCCTAAGAACTTATAAAAGGCAAAGCCTAGGTCTGCTTATTTTTGTATCCCACTTATTATGTATATACACTTAGTATAATAAATGTATGTATGAAGGAAGTTAAATACTGTTTGAAACATGAAAGTACTGTGCTGGGCGGCCTGAACGATGATGATGTAGTATAAACTATAACATATGCAGAATTGTTTTCCAGAACTCAGAGTAGGGTTATTACATGATCATTTCCATATCGTGGTTCTGGATACAGCTGACTATACAGTTCTGTAGACTTATAGTAACCTCATCATTGTTCTAAACATTAATTTTTGTAATCATCTCTTCCAAAGTGTACAGACATACAAATGATTTACCACTTTAGATTTTGTTGCAGTCAGGACTTCATCTTTTCTCTCCCAGATTTCCCCTTCACTTGTGTTCAGCTACTAACTTGATTCACATTAGTGTCTAGGTGCTTATTAATATTCCTTCTGTAAATTAAGTTAACACTGTGTACTAGGGATGAATTATTAGAATGATTTTTTTTCTTTTCTGAGACAGTTTCTCTGTGTAACCTTGGCTGTCCTGGAACTCACTCTGTAGACCAGGCTAGCCTTGAACTCACAAGAAATCTTCCTTGCCTCTGCCACTCAAGTCCTGGGGCCAAAGGTGTGTGACACCATCTCTACCCAGCAAGAAAGAAATTCTTTCTTTCTTTTTTCTTTTTGTGGCAGGGTTCTCTGAGTAACAGTCCTAGCTGTTCTCGACTCACTTTGTAAACCAAACCAAGCTGATTTTGAACTCACAGGGATCTGCCTGTTACTGCCTTTTGAATGCTGGACTTAAAGGTGTGCACCATTATGCCCTTTGAAAGATTTTCTTAAAAGAAAAAAAAAATTGTCATCATTGCTAGAATTTGATGGCATCTAAGGACTTCGTATAGAATCTTGATTTGTTGTTTTTGATGTTGTGGTTTGTTTTTTAAATCTCTTCTTGCATCATTGCTAAAGAAGGTACTAGACACATACCAAAGAAGCAGGATGTATTGGCATTAAGGTATAAATATGGAGCTTTAATCATCTAAAAATGTATGAGCTAGGGTAGATAACCCAAAGCTAGTTGGAAGTTATTTTTCAGTTGCCTGGGTGAATCTTTGGACAATGGTGTTCGAGGGATGTGAAGCTGTGTTTGGGAAGTGCACTTCCTGAGAGATTCTTGGGTCCTTCCTTTTACCCATCTATGTGATTTTATGCAAGTCATTTAACTTTTTGAATTAACTGAATTTCTAGCTTGTTTTCCCCTTTCACATCTCTAAAATGAAAAAGAAATTAAGTGGGATTATTCTACTGGATACTGATTTTTTTTTTTTTTTTTTTTTTGAGAGAGAGAGATACTTGCTATATAATCCAGAGTGGCCTTAAACTCAGAATATTTCTACCTCCCAGGTTGTACTAGACTTTTAAGTTGGCATTTTCCTTTTTTAAAAAGGTGGGCTAATAACAATTAGAAAGTGACTTTGGTTGCTAGGATATTTTCCCCCGCTGTAATCTGGACCCTAAAGGATTCTACGCTAGGGCAGGAGGAGTAGCTCAGTGGTTAAGAACTGTGATTTCTCTTCCAGAGGACCCAGGTTTAGCTCCCTCCATCCACATCTCACACCCATCTGTAGCTCCAGTTCCAGGGGATCTGATGCCCTCTTTTCACCTCTACAAACACTGGACATTCACATGGTGCACAGATACACATTCAGGCAAAATACACATACACATACATACACATGAAGTAAAATAAAGAAATATTGAAAAAAATAAAGAATTCTACCCTATTAAAGAAAGGGAAAGAAGAGCCTAGAGAAATTCTAGATAGAAGCCAGTTGCCAAATTAGCATTTAGAAATGTATTTGAAACCTAAACCCTTTGTGGGTCTTTCCTGGCAGCCTGAATACTCTGCTCACTCAAGCAGCATTCCTTCTGGTGTACTCTGTTATTGTGCCAATTGAGAATGCCTGTTGACATCACATAGTTTCCTGAATACTTTGAGGACTCAAGATGGCCGTGGATTTGATAATCAAGTACTCAGTCTCCTTAAACTATGGCGTTAAAGCAGGTGTTTTCCAAGCAGTTAGGGTTTTAACAACCCCCAACCCTTTTCTGGGGGAATATACTATCTGTAATTTCACTTTCTCCAGTTTTGGTTGCAGTCAGCTATATTTAGAAAATAAATGGAAAGTTCTATATTTTGAGACAGATGACAGTCTTACGAATACACGCACACAGGTGTGTCTCACTATATAGCTGTAGATGGCATAGAACTCACTATGTAGACCAGGCTGGCCTCTAACTCACAACAATCTATCTACTTCTGCCTCCCAAATCATTCTGTTTTTATTACTGTTGTTAATCTCTTGTTCTAATTCATGAGTTAGACTTTCTTAGATATATATGTACAGGAAATGTATATGTGTCAATATAATTCAGTACCACATGTTTCAGACATACTGGAAGCCTTGGAACATATCTCCTGTGTGAGGGGGACTTATATATAGATGAAAGGAGCTTTGGTTTAAGCAGGTTTGGTTTGGTTTGGTTCAGTTGCTTGGTTTGGCACTAAGGATTGCGTAACGGACCTTGTACATACTATGCCAGGATTTTCCAACCCCCTTTTCAGCAGTTTGGTGGATAATAGTGGGGAGTAGGGGGTACCTTGTACAACTGAAAGTATTCTTTGATTGTATTCAGTAAATTTTGTAGAGGAATTTTAATCCAGCAACATGTCTGCTCTGGCAAGGGATCACATCCAAAGACCTAAGTCAGTCTGATCTGGCTGGAATCCAGGCATACCCTTAATATACACACTTAATCCCTCTTACTGGAATACAGACATGCCTTTAGTACACATTTTTAATCCCAAACAATAACATAATTGAGGGACAGACAAAGTTACAAATCAGAGAAAGATTTGACAGAATGTGTCAGTGATAGGATAGCTTAACTCTCATGAGAACAGATAGGAAGGAGAAGCCACTTAAGAGCAGTGCAGACAGAAAGAACATGTTTCATGGAGACAATACAATAGAGTTGAGGAGTGCAGTACAGTTTGGTGCAGCTGAGTTTGTGGAATTCAGAGGCAGTTTTTCCTATGCCTGTTCTGGCTCCCAAATAATGGCATGGAGACTTATTACATTTATTAATAACCTTTAAGCACTATAGCTGGGCAGATACTGAACTATTCTAACCTGTCTGTGTTGCCCTGACCTGCTTCCCAGCCATGTGCCCCATTACCTGCCATCTTAATCTTGTCCTGGGTGCTCCTGTTCCGTCTTTTTCTTCATAGCCTCCTTCCCATGCTGATCTTCCCCCTCTCTCCCACCCTCTACCTGGGACCCTCCACATGGGATCGCAAGTCCTGCCTCAACTCTCCTGCCCAGTTATCAGCTGTTCAGCTCTTTATTAACCAATCAGACGTGATGGAGAACACTTTTTTTTTTCCCCCAAGACAGGATTTCTCTGTGTACTGTGTAGCCTTGGCCTGGACTTACTTTGTAGACCAGGTTGGCCTTGAACTCACAGAGATTCCCCTTGCCTCTGCCTTCCCAAGTGGTGGGATTGCAGGCATATACCACCACCAAGGCTGCCTTGCATGGAAAGCATTTTTTACACAACGTAAAGCAGAAGATGCTTCAGTAATGACAGTGCTCATGTTCGACTGCAACCAGGCCTCTGGGCACAGAGATCAGCATCTGAGCACACAGCACAAACCATCCCCCAACAGAGCAAGTCAGTGAAAAATGGAGAGAAGCCAGCTTGAATCATCAGCTTCAAGAGGAGTTCTGAACCAGAACAACTGAGTTTAACCAGCCAGCCAGAGTTCAGAAAGAACTAGAAAGGGTGAGCTTATTCAGCAGTAAGTCTTGGAAGCTGAAAACATTCTAGGCTTAGGTTAGTAGTCAGAGGCTGGAAGCTAAAGCCTTCAAGGTCTGTGTATGGAGAAGATTAGATTGTACAGAGGTAGAAGCTTCCAGGCCTAGGCCTAGGGATATTTAGATAGAAATGGTCTGGGCTCAACCCAGCCATGTATTCGTAAAGCTTAGTTAGGCCTCTCGTGTGATCCCCTCTTCTGAGGAAATAAAAATAATATTTACAAAATTTGTGTCATTTTGTTTGTCCACTGAATAAGATTTATGGATGAGGTAATAGAAAAGCAGTGGACTGGGAAGAGTTTCTAGTTGTGATTTTATGCAGTCGCTAACTGATTTTATGTACATGATTCAGTCTGCTGAGGGCTGGCTCATTGGACTTGGTTCTTGCTTTGATGAGCTGTGATTCTCTAAGTTATCTGGAGTTGCTGTTTAGTACAGTGTAGTTTGCAGCAATGTTTGGAAGTCCTCAGACCAATTTTATTTATTTTACTCCTTTTTTCAACATATCAATAGCTTTCACCATTTATCTCCACTAAGGACATAAATTTCACTTTGGTGCAAGTGCCTGTTATATAATATTTGGACTAGATGCTTCAATGTGTAATCTTTTTGTTTTGTGTCTTCTTTTATAGGATTTTGTATCTTTGCTAAAGCCAGTGATGTGAAAAGACCTGAAATGGGTAAGACTAAAGCAGCCTCTCTGTCCTTTTACTTAACTGATTTGTTAAGCTCGAGAGAAAGAATGAGTTTTCCCAATATTTGTACTGTTTGTGTCTTTGGGCATAGTAATAATATTACAAGATCCTAGTCCTGTTTTTCTTTGGTTAGTGCATTGTTTACAAAATAATTGAAGATCATTTTCTTATTGATCGTATTAAAAAGAACGAATGCACACCAGCAGTGTTTGTTCTGTTTGCGGCATACCTTTTGTAAGCACTTAATACACATGTAGTCATTTCATCGCTTCAGCCGTCTCACAAGGGTACCTAACAGCATGCACAAAACATACATGATTGTACCAACAAGGAAAGTGACATACAGGTTAAAAAAAACCTGTTTGGAGTCACAGACTCTATCCAGCAGAGTTCGAGGCCCGACTCTGTAGGACTGTGCTGCACTGCCTCCTGTAGGGCAAACAGAGTAAGGTAAATGTTTTATTTCATGCAGCTAGTGATAAAGAAACTTTGCAATTGGAACATTTCCACTGCTTCATTTACAGTTATTTTATATCTGTAAAGGAGCTCAATATAGAGACAGGAAAGCAACCAACTTAGAATACATCAAAATGGCTGAAACAGGAAGATATTACAGCATCTATGGCTCTTTTAAATTCACTTTAGCCTTTTCTTCTTACATTTTTGTCCTTCTCACCACTGTGCATTCTCTCCCTTAGTCTACTCTCCCCCTGCCACTCATTTGTTTCCATTTTCTCAAAGCTGTTACCAGTGTAACTCACATGAGTTATCTTGACTCTCATTTGTTCCTGTTTTAGCTCTTTTATGGTAAAAATGTTTCAAAAGTAAGACCCTGCTATAGTGATTGAGATGACACTAAGGGATACAAATAAATTCTTTTTTACAGAAAAACTCAGCCGGATTGAGGGTTGTTTTTGTTTGTTGTTTGTTTTATAGTGGTTGGTATTTGGGGGAAGTTGCATACACATGTATGGGCATGCCCAAAAAGGGTTGGTAATGTCCTGTCTGCCTTACTCCTTTAGACAGGGACTTTTCACCGGATTGGAAGCTTACTGTGCTTGCCTTGTTAGCCGGCTGGCCAGCAAACTCCCAGGATCTGTTTCTTCCCCTACAGTGCTGGGATAACAGGCAAACACAGCCATGTCCAGCTTTTTACATGGGTGCTGGGGATTCAGACTGAGGTTCTCACACATGTACAGCACTGCTACCCACTGAGTTCTCGCCCCAACTCCTGGCTAAACATTAAAGCACCTTTTTGAGTTAAGATAGGAAACAAACTAATAGGAACAGTGTTTTTCCATGTGACATGGACTCCCACCTCCCCTTATGCTGACCACAGACTCAGAGTCAGCTAGTCAGAATTCTGCCTTTGCGTTTCAAGCAGCTGCCTCGTGTAGAGCCTTTTTATCCGATGTCCTTTTTTAAATATTAAATTTCTTATACTTAAAACATTGTAAGTTTTCTTTGGGGGAAATTTCATTATTTTAAAAAACTATAAGTCAGGGTGTGTTTTTTATTCTTGTGTAGGTTTGAGCTACTTATTAGATGATGATCTCAAGTCAGTTCTAAATGGACCAGTGTCTTCACATGCTGTGAAGGAGGGATTTACTTGTCTACATAATTATTCTTTGAGAATAATTTTTTAGGTGAACAGATTGTTTCACAGGAAGATGTTGTTGGAGGATGATGTAACTTGACCCAATCTGGATCCCTTCCCTAGATGACACTGCTGATGGGGTGAAGATGGATGCTGGAGAAGTGACCTTAGTGAACCACAACTCCGCTTTCAAAGCCCACCTCCTGCCACAGGCAGGTTTTCCGAAGAACCAGCTTTCCGAACAGCAGGTTAGAAGAATGCTTTTCCTTTGCTTAACTAATTATTTTGCTGATTATAAATATTCATCTGATACAGTTTGAAAGCCACACTAACAACTTGAAGCATGTGAACTTTTTACAGTCAATAATTTTAGTGTTGGCCGGACGCAGTGGTGCATGCCTGTAGTCCTAACACTCCGAAGGCAGAGGCAGCCGGATCTCTCTGAGTTTGAGGCCAGCCTGGTTTACAGAGTGAGTCCAGGACAACCAAGGCTTCACAAGGAAACCCTGTCTCAAAAAAACAAAATATTTAATTATTATTATTATTATTATCAATTATTATTTTAGTGTTGGATTTCTGCTTGGTTTAAGAAAGTTAAGACAACATGATATATGAATTAGGAATAAATTTGTTTGTTTATTTGTTTTTTGAGACATGGTTTTTCTGTGTAGCCCTGAGTGTCCTGGAGTTCACTCTACATCAGGCTGGCCTCAAACTCAGAGATCTGCCGGCTGCTGCTTCCAGAGTGCTGGAATTCAACATGTGCTGCCACTAGCTGCAAGAATAATGTTTTTTAGAAAGCTCTTCAGTGTTCCTCTGATTATTAAACTGTTGACACATAGATTTTTGTCCTTCTAAACTAGGTCTTAAAATTACTCAGCATAGCTTGGGGGAGAGGGATGCATGCACCACCATCCAGAGTGTAGTCTCTGACATAACTCAGAAGGTTTCAAGGTCTGGCCCAGTGTACAGCATGTGCATTACCTAGGAGCCTGGCTAAGATGCAGATTCTGAGCATCCACCACTGAAACTGAAGCCACATTTTAAAAGCATCCCTAACTGACCATGCCATCAGAGTAACAGGAATGCTGCTGAAAAAGCTGTCTTGGGCCAGAGAGATGGCTCAATACATAAAGACACTTTCTGCCAAGCCTGATGACCTTGGTTTGATGCCTGAGACCCACATAGTGGAAGGAGAGAACGGACTCCTTCAGGTTGTCCTCTGACCTCTTCACTTATGTCACTGGATGTACAATAAATAAATGTAATTTTTCTTTTCCAGACCTGAGGACCGAACCCACGACTTTGCACTTGCTAGGCAAGTGCTCTACTACTGAGCTAAATCCCCAACCCCAATAAATGTAATTTTTAAAAGTAAAACAAAGAAAGTAGTCCTGCTCAGCAGGGAAGCCATTAGTAATATGAACGACGTAATTTGTTGCTGTATGAATCTACTTAAGCGTAGCAGGTTGGGCCATGGTCATATCGGTGTTGCATATGTGCTTATGTTTTGTACTTGTACTAAGACTGCAGCAGCAATCCTGATGAGAATTACTCTGTAAAGTCTTCAAAAGAAGCAAAACCAAGTTGATTTTCTTAGCTTCTGAAACATAACTTATTTTCTGATAGAATATAGTAAATGCAAGTATACCATCCAATGAATATTCTTTTTTTTAAATTTATTTTTATTTTGTGTACATTGGTGTTTTGTCTGCATGTGTGAAGGGGTCAGATCCCCTGGAACAGGAGTTATAGACAGTTGTGAGCTGCCATGTGGGTGCTGGGAATTGAACCTGGGTCCTTTGGAAGAGCAGAAAGTGCTCTTAACTGCTGAGCCATCTCTCCAGCCCTCAGTGAACTTCTTTAAGTGGTGGGGCAGATAATTACCATCTTTCCCCTTAAATATGAATAATTTTATCAAATAGTCTCTTTCTTATTAGTATATAGCTTGTTTATAATATAATAGATAAATGCACATTATGAGTTGCAACTTTTATCATAGTCCTGTTTAGTGATATTTTTCTTAATATAAACTTTTATTCTCTTTAATTGTCAAAAATCTGATTGAATAAAACAATCTTCTGTTTTCAGATCTTGCCCTTCAGGCAGGGGACTTCAGACAGACCTTTCACGTGTTCTACAAGAAGTGCAGCTTATAATCCAGATTATTACTCAGGTATGGGTCATTACTTGTATTCAAGTCACTGCATGCCCTTCATGTTTCTTCATAACAAAATATTTTGTGTTTACCATCTCTAAAAGTGAAACCATTATCAGGTTTTGGGACATGGCTCAGTGGTAGAGCACTTACAAAGCGTCCTGGGTTTCCTTCCTAATACTGTCAAAAAAATAAATAAAATAAAAACATTGTCAAAACCAACATGGCATTTTACTTATATGTATATATTTGGTTGCTGTAGTAGTTTGGATTTAATGCCAATCAAATACTAACTTTTGAGTGGGAAAATATTTTTGGAATCTGTTTTCCTTGACTACCATTTCGTTACAGAAAATAATAATGCTTTGTTTTGTTTTTGTTTTGCTATGTGCATGTAATACAAAGGGTATTTGTTTTGTATGGATTTAAACCACACAGCTAACTTATCTCTGTTCTTGAAACAATTAAACCTGAAACTTTCTTTCTGTTAAAGTTTGTTCCTCCTTTAGGGCAGGAAGTGTTAACTACATGTTTCTGTCCAGCACCTGCCACAGCCATATGCTTGTGTATTCAAGGACTTTGCTGTTCAACCTGTGATCCGTGTTAGAAGTTAGCGTTCTCTGACTCCTGTCCCTGGCCAGCTGGCTTCCTTATCTGATCCCCTTCCTAAGGTCTAGACTTCTGACAGTATTCTGCCTCTGACTTGGAAAACTAAGAATTTTGTCCATTAGTCTCTGAGCCCTGTGACTCAGGAAGGTGACAGTGGTCTTTCCTGGTCATTTTACACTGCATTACTTAAAATCTCATTCTACCACAGATATGGGAATAATAGGAATACCATAGAGTCTGCCTACATGAGGTTTTTGTTTTTTGTTTCTTTTTTGGTAAGGATAAGCTTATGATATATAAGAAATAAATATGCACATAATAATTATTATTATTTGGCTTCCTCTGGATTCTTTGTCAGAAAGATGAGATCTCCTCCCCTAAGAAGACATTAGTATGATGTTCTTTTAGACTTATATTTAAGTGTTCATTTTTTTAGGTGGGTGGTACTATATACCCTGGGTGCTAGATTTCCTCTCAAGATGGACAGTGACCTCCACATAGTATGTGTCAGTAATTTCAGTGAAAAAAAAGCAACTGAGAAAGTAACTCTTGAAAAGGAAGGAGGACTCTGGCTAAAATGCTCAATCCCCATTCAGAAAGACAAAGAGGATGGACATCAGAAGAAGGAGAAAACAGGGAACAGGACAGGAACCTCCCACAGAGGGCCCCTGAAAGGCTCTACCCTGCAGGGTATCAAAGCAGATGCTGAGACTTATGGCCAACCTTTGGGCAGAGTACAGGAACCTTTTAAAAGAAGTGGGAAATAGTAAGACCTGGAGGGGAAAGGAGCTCCACAAGGAGAGCAACAAAACCAAAAAAATCTGGGCACAGGAGTCTTAGAATTTCTAAGACTGATACTCCAACCAAGGACCATGCATGGAGATAACCTAGAACCCCTGCACAGATGTAGCCCATGGCAGTTTAGTGTCCAAGTAGGTTCCATAGTAATGGGAAGAGGGACTGTATCTGACATGAACTGATTGGCCTGCTCTTTGATCACCTCCCCCTGAGGGGGGAGCAGCCTTACCAGGCCACAGTAGAGGACAATGCAGCCACTTTTGATGAGAACTGATGGACTAAGATCAGAAAGAAGGAGAGGAGCAGCCTTACCAGGACACAGGAAGATGATGCAACCACTCCTGATGAGACCTGATAGACTAGGATCAGAAGGAAGGGGAGAAGACCTATCAGTGGACTGGGGGAGGGGCATGGGTGAAGAAGGGGGAGGGGAGGAGGGAGGGAGCTACAGAGGGGATACAAAGTGAATAAATTGTAACTAATAAAAAATAAATTAAAAAAAAAAAGAAAAGGCCTTTGGTGAGCAAAGAAATGTGATGTGACAGTTTATTAGTAATCCTATAGAAAAGATGATTAAGTAGTTAGTGAAATCAGATTATTAATATTTCCATTTGATTTGTGCAGTGTTTGCTTGTTATTTCATATGCCAGTTTACCATTGGATAGAATCATCCCATTGGGTTTCAAATAATTGCTTCAAAATCAACAGTTGTGTAGAAAATTCGACTTAAACCCCTTAACTAAAAACCAATTACTTAACTCCATTCTCTTTGGCCTCTTCTGATTTGTATCCCTGTATATATTCATGGTACACTTTCTATGATTTGACACATAAAATCCTTATAACCCAAAGTTTGTTTTCTGTCAGTTCACAAATTCTTCCTCGTATTTATTGTTTTCTGTCAAATTTTAACTTGTGCACTGTTACGCACAGCTGTAATCCCTTATGTGCAGTTTCAAACTCCAAAAGAGCTCTAAAAAACTTCTTTTAGATTTGACATTAAAACCTACATGAAGTAACATGGAGTTTTAGTTTTGATTTCACTTACTTCTGTAAATATAAGTACCTACCCATTTTTGCTACACGTACCAATATTTGTTTATAGAGTGGTACTCCAGATTGTGTTGTATAGAATGCCAGGTTATCTTGCTGAAATTTCAAGGTTGTAATTCTGAAGTGCAATCGGAGCCCAAGGCTTTACGATCTGGGCTAAGAGCGCAGTGTCTTCACTGGTGTTGCCGTTATTCCCAGGGCTTAAGTCCACTACAGCTTCGCCATTGTTGGTTATTATTAGTAACTAACGAAGAAACACTTATGGTTTTTCCTTTAATTTTAGTTGAACCTTAATGTTGACAAAGCTATATCTGACATAATCCCAGATTCTCATGTTTGTGACGGTAGCAGTATTTGACCAGGTTCGTGGCTCTTTGACTAGCCACAGATGGCTTAGAATCACACTTTTCCTGTGTTTATCACACCACAAGTTGATTTCTCACTACAATTACCTCCCACTTGGATTTTTTACCATTTTAAGAAAATGAAAATCTTTGCAATAGTTTTGTATACGTAGGAAAATGGCAGTGAGTAATGAAGTCACGCAGAGGCAGGAATGCTGAGCTGTCTGCGAGAGTCATTCTCTGTGCACTCTCTATAGCTTAAAACAGGATTCAAGTCTGTTCGTCTTTAACAGCGGCTCTCAACCTTCCTAACGCTGCGACCCTTTAATATAGCTCCTCATGTTGTGGTGACCCCCAACCATACAGTTACTTTCCTTGCTAATTCATAACTGTATTTTTAACCACTGTTACGATTTGTAAATATCAGGTTGAGAACTGCTGATCTATCAGGTTTCATCCAGCTATTGATTAAACATGGCACAGACCTTACAAACAGAAATTTGCATCTAGTATGCATACATAGGACCCAGGATTTGATCCCAGCACCAAACAAAAACAAGGCTGCTTTTAACAGTTAACTTTAAATCTTTTTCCTTTGCCATGCCCATTGCAGTTTGCTACAAACCTGTCTGCTTTGACCTTGAGCCTGCCCTGCTGATGGGTTAGGTGTGGCTCTCCTGGTATCTGCCATAATCTTCTAATTATGGCACTGCTGGTGTTCTTCTGCTCTTTTTGCATACTCTGTCTTCTGCCAGGATGAAAGAGAAAATGGGAAAGTCCAGATTGTAGAATCTGGAGCTAATGATTTGTTGTTCTATTGTACCTAGCTCTCTGAAGAAAGCCTTTCAAAACCCTGTCTCTCAAGTCTGTTTGAGATTAAACTATTGAAAGGAAATGGCTTTTCTGAATTATTTAGAAAACATAAATGCAACACCTAAACTTTTATAGCACAGTGGAAGAAATTTAAAGAATTTTAAATCCTAAAGAGCAACCAAAAAAGTAGATTGAGATGAAAAGAATTTTCTAGTGCCTTAAATTTATCACTCTTTGGAAAATACATTAAATTAGGTTACTAAGCCAACATGTAGTAGGTTAAGTTTACTTAGTGACCTGTTACTACAGTAACTAATCCCAGTGTTAACAGGATTAAAGAGCTACTTTCACATTGAATGGTTATCTGACACAGTCTTCCCTTTTTCTTGAGTTTTAGAGAGAAGTTTATTATAGATTCCGGAGGTAGGAGGTTAAGTGGAGGTGATCAGAGAGCCTCTGAATAGCAGGTGCACACTCGTGTTTTAATACCATTTATTATGTTCATAAAGGTACTGCCTGTCTCTGTGGAAAACTTTCCCAGAAAGTGCTCAGTCATCCTCAGTAGACTATAACCACAATTACAATTGCAGTGTGTTCTAGTTTTGTATGCGTGAACACATAAAAAATTACCTTGTGTCTGGCTTTGTAACTGATTTCTTAGTGATGATAAAATAGCAGGTTAAATTTTTGCTACTAAAAAGAAGATTTGCAGCCTCTTATTAGTCCCTTACTCCCCTCAGCAATCAGAGGATTACTCAGTGATGTCATTGGCTGGAGATAGAGCCGCCTGCCTGAGCCCGGGCTTCCCTTGGTATTTTAAAGCTGAAGCCTCAGCCCAGTGCTCCTGGAAGGCTGCTCTGACCTACCCTTCATCTCAGGTTTCACAGCTATCAAGATAATTTATAATTTTAATAGATTTCCTCCTCAAATACACATTTTTAGTTAGATTGTTTAGCAAAAAGTGTGAAAGGCAATTATTTCTACAGTTACTGCTTTACATTTAGCAGCTTCTTTTTTCTGGGTTTCTCACTGAGACTTGTGTTCAGTAGCTTTGTGTACCTGCCCTTAGTGTAACAAGAGTCACACATGCTAACCACATGTTTACCTCAGGAGAAGAAAGTACTAATTCATTTTGAAAATGAATTTACTTACTTTAATTATCATCCTAAGTTGCTGCACTGACTGGTGAATCATTTGATCCTAACACCACTATGGATTGCTTCTTCTCCCCATTATGTTTACCCCAAATTCTGTTTCATGGTTTACTTAAGGGGCTGCCTTTTTGAAGGCTGTTTTATTTGGATAAAGTATTAAAGACAGACAAACGCGTGTTCTGATCATGTGTGCATGCATATGTGTGTGTGCGGTTGCCTGTGTGTGTGGAGACAGTCAAAGCTGGCCTTAAACTTGTCCTTGCCTGCCTCGGCCTCTTAAATCCTATGATTACAGGTGTGCACACCATACCCACCATCGATACTTAAATGAGTAATAAAAATAATATAAAATAATGTAAATGAATACTATTGTGCGAAGTTCAGTGTTAACGTTCTTTGGAAGGAGAGCTTCAGAATATTGTTAGTGCAAGACAGAAATTCTGGGAATAGAAAATTATTAGCCTTACTTTTTCCACGGACACTCCATAGAACTCCATAGCTTAATATCTGAAGTTATTTTGCAGGAGCTGTTTTAGTTTATCTGGTCCTCCTGATAGAGAAAGGAAGGCATAGAAATTATTCTACTACTCTTAGTTGAAACTTCAAGAGGTTTTTTTTTATTCCAGTTTATAATCTAGAGTTCAAAAATAATAAATAATCCTCAGTGTGATTGTAGTTGCAGACATTGGAGTACTGATGATATATCTGATGATTAAGAAACTGAAGATCATACTAATATATATTAACATATATATATATATGATATATATATATAGTGGGTCATTCCTGCCATAAGCAGCCAGTATGAGCTATTATAAGCAGAATTAGATATTCTGTACTTTGAGAGATTCTCTGAGTCTGGAACTTGATAACTACAAAGAAGAAGGTGACACCAGCTGCTTATTAAGCAATAACTGTTGTTCATTTGAATTACAATCTCCTTGGCCCTCCACTTGCTTTCTTACTGGTCTGGCCTACCTTCTTTCAGGCCCAGGCCTGGGAGTGCTTGCAAGATATAGTTGGGGTAAAATGTTGACTTTTGGTGGACACCACGGAGTCACATTGATGCAGATAAGGCACATGGCTGTGGCAGGATTCAGCTCCTTCATCAATTTTCAGGTTAGTATGGCTGAATCGATTATAGTTTGTAGAAGTGCCCTTCCTGCAGATTTGTTGACAGTTGAGACTGGGATCTTTTCCATGAGAGACATGGTAATATGCAACGTTGCTTTGGAATGCAATGATGGAACATGGTTGCAATCATAAAAAGACCTAGATTAATTATTTGTTCAACTTATTCAAATTTTTATTTTCTTTTAGATAACCCTTCCTCAGACAGTTTCCTTGGCTCAGGTGACCTACGGTCCTTTGGTCAAAGTGCAAATGGACAGTGGAGAAATTCCACTCCAGCGTCAGTGTCAACGTTACAAAAACCAAGAAATAGCCGAAGTCTTTACCTCGAAACCCGAAAGACCTCAAGGTTAGTTTTTGGTCCATGTACTTCTTCAACTCTTCTTAGATATAAGGGGAAAAGTAGCTATAAGGTAGATGTTGCATTAGAATTTTAGGGCCTTAAACCATATCAATATATACATATCTCTTTCCTTCGTACTGAAATTGGGCAATAGCCAAATCTTCTAGATCAATAAAAAAGACACCTGGTAGTTGTAAAATAACCAGTACAAGTTTTAAAGTGAAAAAAGCAAGTCAATCTCTGAAACTGTAATAGCAAAGAACTCAGCACTTTTTTTTAAAAAGTTTTATTATTTTAATTTTATTCAATTTATATATATATTTTTTTTTATATCATGTGCATTGTTGTTTTGCCTGCATGTGTGTCTGTGTGAGGATGTCAGGTCCTCTGGAGCTAGAGTTACAGTTGTAAGTTGTGATGTGGGTGATGGGAATTGAATCCAGGCACTCTGGAAAAACAGCCAGTACTTAACCGCTGAGCCAGCTCTGCAGCCCTGAGCTCAGTCACTTTACAGTCTTTCACATGAGCTGACTTAAAGCAGAGCTGCCCCACCTCTGCGCTGGTCAGTTAGGGCCAAGCATCTTGTGACTCTTAGGAAGTAAGGGGCATAGAGAACTTCATATCCCAGTTCATGAGCCCCACCTGTTCCCTTGCCAAATGTACTCTGGCTGTTAACGACAGGTCCCTCAGCTCCTCCATTACGTTTAAGTTCCTGACAGTGTTGGAACACGGCACCCGTCCTTCTTATTCTTTCAGTGCTCACATTCTGACAATTTTGGTTTTGTAACCTAGAATAGCTGAGGGAGGGGGTTACTTGCTTGCTTGCATTTTTAAAGACATCTTTTCTGCTGAATTCCCTTTGAACTTGCTACTGGCTCTGATAGACTCAAACTCATTAAATATAGGTAGGGCACTTGTTTCCTGACATTGCAAGATATCTTTATACTGTTCTTTGGTTTGGTTATTTTGATGTTGAAAAGATATACTTCAATAAATACAAAAAGATATTGTAGAAACCCATTTTGTCTTTCCCAGACACTTGCACTACCATTAATGTCTTGTATTGTGTCCTCCCAGCCTAAGAACAGAAACCTGAGCTGAAAATTGAAGTCTTTGTTTCTTCTTCTATATTATACAGAAAAGTCCGTAGATTTTGAAAAAATTAAGAGAGTGTATTTGGTTTTGGTGTTCTTTAGATCTCCTCAGCTCATTTAGGTTCAGACCACATACTTAGTTGAGTTTATTGAATCTAGTTTAGTCAGGTATTCAACTATTTTAAGTCCATGGGAGTTAATGAAAGAAAAAGAAAAATTCACTTTGGTCAGAGTATGTACCTTGCCCAGACTTGCTAGGTAATGGCAGATGGAAAGCACATATAAGGAGGGAAGAGCTTTAAACTAGGAAGCTTTAGCTAGATTGTGTATTTGAGTTACCTTGTCAGTGTTCGCACTAGACGGGGCACAGTAAGAATCCACAGTGTGCTGTGCAGCCTGGTAGATCACAGTGTGCAGGACACCCTGGTAGAAATTCTTCTCGGTGTTCTTCTTGAAAGAGGAGAGCCCTCTGTTGGTCCTGTAGCAAATTTTAAAATTCACTGCAGAGGTTTAGTTATGAGATTTCAGCGTTATCCGTCCTTACATGTTTAAAGTAATTCCTTCCAAAGAGCTTTAGGGACAGGACTGTGGAATAGACATGTAAAGTAGCAAATATATGATTAGCATACCTCCACTCCATGTCCTCCAAAAGGAAACACTCTGATTTGTTCTCTGTCATGTCATACTAAGTTCTAGATTTGTGTGTCCAAGAAAAACAGTTTTAATTACTTGATAAATATGTGACTTAGCAGTCTAAGACCTTTTAAGAGGCAGAATCCGATGTTATAACCTCATGTGTCAAATCTTACATATTTCCCACAAATGTACTTCTGTCATTCTATCGGTCTGTTTGTTTTTTTTTTTTTTTATGTGTTTTCCTTGCACATATGTCTGATGAGGGTGTCGGATCCCCTAGAACTGGAGTTATAGACAGTTGTGAGCTGCCATGTGGGTGTTGGGAATTGAACCTAGGTCCCCTGGAAGAGCAGCCCGTGCTCCTAACCTCTGAGCCATCTCTCTAGCCATGTTTTTATTATTTCTTGAAAGGGAAAGTACAAATAATCATGAGACTTATCTTAAATGTTCTTATAAATTTCTTTTTTAGTGGATTACCAAACAGCTTTGCAGGAAAGTCAAACCATCACTGCCATGTGTCTGCATATGAAAAGTCATTTCCCATTAAGCCTGCCCCAAGTCCGTCCTGGAGTGGCTCATGCCGGCGAAGTCTGTTAAGCCCTAAGAAAATTCAGAGGCGACATTTCAGCACAGCAGAAGAGGTAAGGAAAAGCTGCGGCCAGAGCCACTAAGAGCAGCAGGGGCCCTTCATGCTCTCACGTGCTTATCAGCCATTGTGCTTACCTAATCCTCTTTGTGCTTTTTTTTCCCTATAATTACTCTTTTTAAAATTTTGTGCTAAGTTCAAAAATGCTGGAAGAACATTGTTTTTCCTATTGCTTTCTGATCCTGTTGTTTCACAACCTTTTTGAACTGTTGTTTTCTTTAGTAAAAACTGTGAGCTTTGCTTAACAGTTTTTTGTTATTTTGACTTTTGTGGAACATCAGTTCTTCCCACTAGAAACAATTTTCTTCAATTATAAAAACAAAATGTAAAATAAAAATAATCTTTTTAAAAAGACAGCAAGCCGATTACGGTGGCACACGCCTGTACTCCCAACACTAGGGGAGGCAGAGGCAGGCGAATCTCTGAGTTCAAGGCTAGCCTGGTCTACAAAGTGAGTCCAGGACAGCCAAGGCTACACAGAGAAACCCTGTCTCAAAAAAAATAAATGAATGAAATAAATAAATAAAAATAGAAGGCCAGCAAGAGACTGGGGAGATAGGTTGGTCAATAAAGTGCTTTCCATTAAGTATCAGGACTTAAGTTCAAGTCCCAGAACTCATATAAAAACATGGTGGTACATGCTTATAATGTCAGTTCTCGGGAGGCAGAGACAGGCAGGTGTCGGGCTCATTGGTCTAGCCCACTGGTGACCTCCATGCCAGCAAGAGACCCTGCTTCAGAAACTGAGCCAGGCAGCTTCTTGAGGAATACCCAGGGTTAGCCTATGACTTCTGCAGCTGTGTTTGTACACACGCCCACGTGTGTGCATACGTTTGCATGCAAACATACATACACATTAGTTTTTAAAGCCACTTCAGTTTATTCTTTCCATTATGTGTAGGGTCTTGGAGGTCACAGACCTCCTCAAAAGAAAGTGTTCTGTTGACTCTTGAGTTGTTCTTTTCACACAGTAACATAAAGTGTGAAATTGTACCTGTAATACAGGTTATATTTGGCGTAGTAAGAAGTGTGAGTTTATTCATTTACATATTTGTCATGGATCTTATTAGGTATTGGTTGCTGTAGAGATACAAATGCGTTGGGATTTTACTTTTGTATAGAAGTATTTTAATGTGCTTTCTATGTATTAGTATTAGTTCTTTTAACCCAGTGCAATGGGTAAAGGTGAGTTTACCTTACAGATTAGGAAAGAAAAGTCACCTGGCTAGTAAATGGTTTAGCAGGTCTAGAGTGCAGGTCTTCTGAAGTTTCTTCTGGAGTGCTTCCTTTCACACAACATGGTGATACATTCCTGTCTAGCTTTGCTTACTGTGCATGGAGTCAAAAATACAGTATTACATGCTAGATAGTTGCATACTTTGTTAACTGAAGATGGAGGATTATTTGTGAAATGGTAAATGTTTAGTTAAGTTGTGCTTCTCTAAGTTTTAAGTTTGTATTGAACCTGAAATAGCCAAGAGGAAAGTGACAGAATAATCATTTAATAGAGCAAAGACTAAGAAACTGGCTTATTTGCCATTGGTGAGGGAGCTGAGTGACAACAGGAAAAGGGAGATTGACTTTGAGGGAATGGTCAGTCCTGCTGGGGACAGAGCTTCATTCATGATTACTACTCAGCTGACTTCTTAACCCAGTTAATTTTTATTTCACTTTTGTATTATTGAATTTTGTGCCAAGTATGTACTAGTTCGTACATGCATACATAAGTAGTTTTCCCTTTTCTTTTTGTTTTTATTTTGTTGAGAGGGAGGTTGCACTCAATAGCCCAGGCTAGCCTTCAACACATTATGCAGTTAAGGCTGGCCTCAAATTCTTGATCCTCATCCTTCACCCTCTCAGGCATTGGGATTACAGGTGTGAGCTGCCCTCCCTGGCTTAATTTCTTCTTAATTACAGCACTGGAAGGGTTTGTGCTTATTCTAGAAGGAGATACAGATGGCTGTCAGGGGAGGGGAACCAGCAGCATAGCGGCTGGGTAGAGGTGTCCCAGGAATGTAGGGTCTGCAAGTCCTCTGTCAGACCGTCATTTGATGGCAGTCCCTTCCTGGCTTCCTTGCTTCCTGTCACCTCCACTGCCACCCCAAGGACGTGGGCTAACCAGGTAAGTCTTCTCTCCCAGCCGGCATTCCAGGCCAGAGACTGGCTGAGGAGAGAGCATGGAGCCGGCATTCCCCTTCCTCTTGGAGCAGTGAGGTGATGAGGTTTTAACCTCAGCTAGGAAATGAGGTGCAGGAAATTTTGTGTCAATGGACTTCTGGTCTATGTTCTCCAATTAAGAAACCACTTTTAATTGAGAATAACATCTATATGTATATCCAAATATTAGAACAGACATCATTATCAACTATTCAACAAATATTTTATGTATTTAATTATGGTAATTACCAGTAATGCAGAGGTAATAGTATTTCTCCATTGGAACTAGAGTGTTTTAGGTGGTGCGGAGGTTTTATTTCATTTTGTTTTGTTTGGGGGGTCTCCTATATAGTCCTGTTGTCATGAAATTCATTATGTTGGCCAGGCTGGCCTCAAATTCATTGAGATTCACTGGCCTTTGCCTCCCAAGTACTGGGAGTAAAGGCATGTGCCACCATGCCTAGCTGGAACTAGGGAATTTTTTTATGGAAATTTATAAACTGTAAAAAAGAAAATCTTCATAGAAATGTTGGAATCTACAAAATGAAAATATTTGCTTAAAGTAAAGAAGGAAATTGCTGTATTAATACCTAATTAAGAATTGAGATTTGTCTTTGAACTGCCGCTGACTGGACTCTTAAGATGGGGATTTTGAGAAAGATTAGAAACACACAAGTAGTAACTGGACAACTGTCAATTCATAGGGCAACACTGAAAAGCCGTGCTACCTAGCACCATTCAAATAAATTTAAGTGAAATAAAATTGTGGCTTCTTAGTTACACTGGTCACTTAAACATCACAGCCACATGTGATCACTGTGAGCTGCACAGGTATAGAGTGTTTTGTGCTGTTGTGCAGTACTGTAAAAGAGAGTGTAAGTGTTCGGAAAGGAGAAGATGATGCGACAGTAAGAAGTTAAATAGTAGAAATGTAAGTCAAGGGCCAGCAAGGTGGCACTGCAATGTAGGAATTGCAGCACGTGCTGCTGAGCGCAACCAACAACCTGAGTTTATCGCTGGACCCACACAGTAGGAGAGAGCTGACTCTTCCAAGCTGTCCCCTGGCCTCCGCATGTGCCCACTCCCACAATAAATAAATAAATAAATGTGGAGGGAAACATTTAAAAGCCACAAATCTCTCTTTGTAGTCAGGTGCTACTGTGAGACAGACAGTTCCCTGAGCAGCGCTCTGTGGCTGGAGCGCCATGGTCTGTGGAGTGAGGACACCTGCACTCTTTTCCTTGTTTAATGCTCTGGTAGTTTTGCCAAAGCCCAAACATTTTGGATTTAGCAGAAAAGCTTTTAACCATTTTGCTTCATATTTATTTCTATGTAAATCTGTTATGCAAAATGAGAGACTATGAATTTAGAATTTTAAATTACAGTGATTTACAACAATATTAGCTTGCTGAAACTCATTTTGTTCTCTTAGGTTTATATAGTCCCATTTTGTTTTGTTTTGTTTTTGTTTTTGTTTTTTGAGACAGGGTCTCTCTGTGTAGCCTTGCCTGTCCTGGACTCGCTCTGTAGACTAGTCTGGCCTCGAACTCACAGAGATCTGCCTGCCTCTGCCTCCCCGAGAGCCGGGATTACTGGCATGTGCCAGCCTTTTCTTTTCTTTTCTTTCTTTTTTTTTTTTTTTTGGTTAGGTTTTTACAGTGTTACAGCTCAGTTTTGCTGTACTTACAGAAGTGCCACCTAATTGTAGAGTCAATCACATGTTGTAATGAAGAGACTGCTCCATGTCTGTGTGTGATGAACGTGTGTACCTGCAGGTACACAACAAACACCATTTGTTCACCTTTCCAGTTTTCACCTTCCCTGCAATTCACCTTAATCGCACTGAACTTTGTTCTTCTAGAAGCTGCATGCCATTGTTCATCCCAAACAACATTTTTTCATTGGCTAAGCTGCTTGAAACCAAAGTAAACCTTTTTGAAGATGTATATCCTTTAGTCTCATTAAATTCTTCCTGTGTGATAGTTTTCTGTATTAGTAGGTATTCATTGTACATAATGAGTTTCATTGTAAAATTTTCACTTATGCATATAAGTATTTGATCATATAAGCTCCTAGTTGCTCTCTCTTGTTGGCTCCATTCCTCAGGTGTTTTTTTCTGTGTCAAAGTAGTTCGTTGTCCCAACCCCTTTCTTTCTTGTTTTTGCTTGTTTGTTTGTTTTAAACAAGGTCTTAGCAGGTACCCCCATCCTGCTTTCAAGTCCAGAGAGGCCTTTATTTGCAGCAGTCCTCCTGTCTCAGACCCCAAAGGGATGATAATTTATTTTCATGTGACAGGTACTCTACAAATGAAATTTTGTATTTTTTTTTTTGTTTTGTTGTTTTTTATTCTTTTGGGTAAATACCCAAAAGGAGTGTAACAGAATCATATATTATTTTTAGTTTTAGTTTTTGAGGAGCCTCCATACCAGTTCCTCAGTGGAGATTCCCACCAACAGCACGTAAAGGTTCTTTCCCGCCCTCATGCTCTGCAGTATTTGTTGTTGTTTTCTTGATTTCTTCTTCTAGGGAAGCCCGCTGCGTGGGAGACTGTTGAATCTAAAACTGCTAGTTGTGAGTAGTTCTGTTGCACACTCAGGCTGTGTGTGCTCAGGCCATGTGTACTCTCGGCTGTGTACGCTCTCAGGCTGTGTACACTCAAGCTTACTCAAAAATCCCCTGTGGAGTGGAGCTGGGGCTAGAAGCTTGTACACACATTTTCCTTTAGGTCACCTTTCTATTTCTTCATGCTGTTGAGCTGTCTTGTCCCTTCTGATTCCTGGCGTTCTTTCTCTTCTTGGAATATAGCCTCTCTTTTGTTCTCCTGACTTGTCATTTCTGGTGCTTCACAGGATTGAACTCCATTCTCAAGAACTTAACCGATATGTCAGATACTAGACAAGGTCATCAGTATCATAGATGCACTATGAATGTACCAGGTGTAAAATGGTGTGGACCCCGACGCCCTGCAGACAACACTGCAAGCTGTTGTTTTCCCCTTGGGATCTGTGTCCACCAAACGCTTACCTAATTATTGCTTTTGTTTTAATCACTGAGCTGTTCAAATTTCAGGAGGGTTGTAGTTGTCCTACTTCACAATTTAAATGCATCTAGTAAATGAGTAACATTATAATGACAGCATAATTATAATTTACTTTGCAGCAACAGTGAAAGATTTGGGAAGAGAAATGTTAGTGTCTGTTTACTTTCAAAGTTAATTGCCTAGTTCATTCTGCTTTTAACAAATATTTACAGTTAAATAAAATGTTAATGCACTCATTGACATATCGATGCAAATATAACACTTCCATTTTTAAAGATTAGTGGCTGAAAAAGGCACCAGGACGTGTTTCTTAGAAAGACATTTTAGTGCTGTGTAAAGTAGAGGCTTTGCAGGTGTGGATCCTCATGGAATCCTTGCCTCCCAGTGACCTCCTTTGTTCTACTCTTCCTTTGTGTGGATCTTAAAACACTTGAGTACATCAAGCACATCCCTGTCGTAGGCTTTGCATTTGCATATATACATCCTTATATTCATCATTAACTTCTTCCCTTAGTTTAGGTTTCTGCTGAAGATTACCTTTCAGATCATATCTCTTCTTGCTGTTTGCCCACCATCAACTTTTAGCCCCCTTGCCCTTTAATTTTCTTTATGCCATGAACAAGTTTTTGATTGACGATCTCTATAATAACTGTAATCTAAACGCACAAAAGCTGTAAACTTATTTTATTCAATTTGTGAATATCAAATGACTAAAACATAGTAGATGTTCAAGTCAGTGAGAAAATTTACAAGTTATTTTTTTCTAAGTACTAAATTGAGACTTAGAGAAAAATAAGTAAATAAATGGTAGAGATGGAAACCATCTTTGAAAAAATACTTGTACCTGCATAGAGTAAAGAGCTGACAGCGCTTGACTGTGTGCGTCCCTCCTCAGGACCTTTAAATCAGAACCAGAACTCCAGGGATGATTCAGGGTTCTGATTTAGAAGTCTTAAGTGCTTTATTTCTGGACTCATTATCGTTTGAGTGATTAAATAATTGCTTCATGGCTTTCTGGTTTTATAGTCAATAGCTTCTCAGCATTAGTAAGTCCACTGTAATTTTCCAAAACAAGCTACCTCTGAGACTAAATTTTGCTTAGCCCCTCTCATGCATATTACCTTCAGAGTATCATCACTGTACAATATTTCTTTATCTTCAGGACTGCTAGAGCTTTGGAAGGAGGCCTGAGAGTCTATCTGCCTGCTAATTTGAAAAGTGTTTGCCTCAGTGGATGTATTTAAGATCTTTTTTTCTCTCTCCTTTATAGACAGTTCAAGAAGAAGAAAAAGAGATCTACAGACAGTTGCTGCAGATGGTCACAGGGAAACAGTTCTCTGTAGCCAAGCCCACCACACATTTTCCTTTACACCTGTGAGTCACAAAAGCATCTTTCATGTGAACCTAACTTTATAGTTTACTACTTGATATTGAAACTATTACCTTTTCTTCTACTAGGTCTCGGTGTCTTAGTTCCAATAAGAACTCTTTAAAAGACTCACTGTTGAGAAATGGAAGCTCTTGTGCGTCTCATGTCATTGGCTCTGATACTTCATCCTCTGGATCTGCCAGCATTTTACCTGCACAGGAGCATTTGTCCCACACTGCACATTCCCTGTCACCTGGTACCCCAGATGTTTCGTTTGGATCCAAAGACTCTGATTCCCACCATCACCTCTCTGCTTCTCATCAGCCAGATAATGTACCAGCATCAACTACACAATCTGAAGGTAAATAATAATAACATCCAGCTAACTACTCCCTGGATCTGTTGCAGGCAAAACTGTAATACATATAACTTAATACATACGAGATTTTCATTACATACACATGATTCAGGTGGCCATACCATGATAAAACCAAACCCACAAATAAAATTCATCCCTCTTTTCTCCTTTTTCTCACTCTCCTCCATCCCTTCATCCCTTCTTTTCTTTTTAAGGGGTATGCTTTCTTCCTACATACAAAGGAATGGTATAAATTTTTTAAGGGTCTTACTGTGTATCACGGGCTGCTTGGCACTTGGTTTAGGGTAGGCTGGTCTTGAACTGTGGCAGTTCTACCACCTCAGTTTCTAGAGAGCTGGGGTTACAGACATGTTCTACCATGCCAGGCATTTTAACTTCCTGAGAAGTCAAAGCTCACTCACCCCTCACTCATCCCTGCTTTCAAGGATTTCTTTTTGCTTCTCTTACTTTATAATACAAATGAGGTTCTCTTAAGTTCTGTGAATTTTCAAGCATTAATCAAGTATTTATCATATAACCCTTAATTTTGATAGAAGCTTTTTTTATGTCAGAGGGGTTGAACATTTTAGAAACTGGAATCTGCTGCCTGATTTTCAGCTAACCCATACCAGCCTAAGCATTGGTGGTGGTGGTGAAGATTTTGTCATGAGGATAACTATCCTCGTTTTATAAAGTATGTATTCAGATTGTAACGTAAAGCAAGTTTTAGATGACATGGCTAGATACGCATACAGAGCATCTGCCTCTCACGGCTTCCACCTTTCTCAGTTCATATGATTTACTGTCGTCATCATTATACGCATCACTTTCTGAAAATTCTTACTTAGGAATTCAACTGTTAGGATATCACTATTTAACTATAGATGAAAACTTGTATTACATTTTATGAAATGATTTACCGAAAATTATCTTTTTTTTTTTTTTTTTCCAAAAATCAAAAGTTGAAAACTTCTCCAATGTCAGAAATACATATTGTGTAGTAGGCTACTGAGATGAAGCTAGACGGAGACAACATTCAGCATGGCGTTGCATCATGCCCTGGTGCTGTTAGTACATCTTCTAAGTCAGGCCAGAGTCATAGTACTTGAGGGGCACATGACCCTGCTCTTGACAAGCATTTAAAATACACAGTGACAAAATCTGTACTTGTGAAGTTAGTTCTGCAAATTCTACCTTTGTCTTTCCTACTTTTTCTTTTCCTTCTACCTAATTTAGTACATGTTGTGTCATGAACTTAAGCCTTAAAAATTGTGGCTGTTCATGTTCCCTGGAAACAGGAGGAAGAAGCACAGAGCAGGCAGGGCCCGAGGACAGATGCCGATGGGCAGATGTGCTTGTGTGTCTAGTGCTTCCTTATATCTGGGGCAAAAGTGGAACTGCTTGCTTTTCCTTCTTGAACTGTATCCATAGGCTCTTGTTATTGGCTCTATGAATAATGTTATGCTTGTGGCACAGAACACAATAACATGTAGAAACTTAAACTGAAATGAGACCTGGTAAATGGTGGGATTTTACTAATAATACTCTTATATTTCTTTGTTTAGGATCAGACTCTGTGATTTTACTCAAAGTGAAAGAACCTCAGATTCCCCCTTCCAGGTAAGCCTAGGGAAGGGGTTGGCTAGTTTCATTTCCTTTAGTTACATAGTATAAAACTGCCCCCACTTAAATCTCTTTCATGTGTTTTTCAGGTTAGTTTAGTGACTTCCTGTTCTGTCTTTCCCTCCAGCCTTCACTATCTTCTTTAGTATGTCCTGCACTAAGTTCTCCATGGTCTGCCTTCATGTTGCAACCATACTTGTCTTTCTAAAATTCATGTCTGATCATTAAAGAGCTTTAATGATTTACAGTTATTAAATTGCCTCAAGGATACTTTTTAAAACTAGGGTTAAGCCAGAATGCCTTAATGTAATATAAAAAGAATTCCTTTGCATGTCTTAAATTCTCTGGCACTCTCTTTCCTTTAAAGAGTATTTATCAAGAACCTTCTGTGTGTTCAGTATTGGTACAGACATTCATATAGCAACAGTGACTAAGACTCCCTCTTCTCAAGGAGCCACATTTTATTTTCCTCTTTGTTTCTTTGGTGTTTTGCTGTTGTTTTTGAGACGGGCTCTCACTGTGTAGCTTTGGCTAGTCTGGAATTTGCTTTGTAGACCAGGCTAGCCTTGAACTCAAAAAGATGTGACTGCCTCTGCCTCCCAAGTGCTATAAGGACCTTCATTTTATAAAAGGTTGCCAAACAAATAGTGAGCAAAAAGTGGTAATTATCAATGCTATGAAGAAAAGTGAAGTAAGAGAGACTAGGGTTGGGGGTACTGTTTACAATGGCTTGAGGAAGTCTGTGATCAAATGCCAAATGATAGAAGTCAGAGAAGGAGCCATATATACACACACATATATAATACATATTATATAGAATATGTATATATTATATATATTTACATACATACACACACACACACACACACATATATATATGTGTATATATATATATATATGTGGGGATGTAGACAGGCTGGCCTGGAACTCACTCTGTAGAGCAGGCTGGCCTGGAACTCAGAGGTCCTACAGCCTCTGCCTCCAAAGTGCTGGGATTAAAGATGTGTGTCAGCACCACGTGGCTAGAGCTATACTGGTGAACAGATCCTTTTGTATGTGTTCTTAGTTTGTACGTATGATATATATTTTTGTCTTAGCATCACTGTTCCTTCTGTCTTTAATGTGCTGTCTCCTTTCACTTGTCTGACACTAGTGGTATAAGTCTCAGTTCAAATGTACTCTTCCACGTAGAACTTTACTTCTCCTGGAGGTATCCAGCCTTCTTCCTCTTAGTAATTACTCAGACTGCTATGCCATCATCACACAGTGCCTTGGCAGTGTAACTGGTAGGATGATAGTGGTAGTGGCTTTTATGAGAAGATTACAGGCGCTAGAATGTCTGTCTCAGGAAATCAGCTACTTTGCAGCTCTAATATCTATTCTAAGCTTTGCGTATTCTACAAAAGTTTCTCTGTTAAGTCTTTTTGAATATATGGAAGGTTTGGATTTGTTATTTCTTGTGTGGTACTTAGAGGCAGGTCTGACTTCTGCTTGTAGCTTTTTTTGGCCTTTGTGTAAATTCAGGTTATTCTTTTGAACCTCATTTGTCAATAAAAGTCCAGTGTAACACCTTACGGTTGACTGTGTGAAGAATAGCACATTGTAAGGTTGTGGTGGTGCACACCTGGATTCCAGCACTTGCAAGGGTGGAAGCGGGAGGGTCGAGTCATCCTCATCTGCACAGTGAATTTGAACCCGGCCTCACATGCAATGGGTGCTTAGTAAGTAAAGCTTTCCTACATAGGCGATCATCCAAAAAAGCCCAAATGCCCTCTCAAGTAGCCCAGTACTCGGCTTTCCTTGTTGTTTAACATGTTAGCGTGCTGAAAGGCATTACAGTACTAGAAGAAACATAGTCTTTGGAATTGAACAGATAAGTTTTATAATACTTGTGGTTCTAATATAATTTGTCCTTCTGAACCTCAGCAAGTTTTTGTTTTCTGTAAAGGATGTGTAATAATTTCATGTTACGTATTATATTAAAGGTTAATTAATATGGAGAGTTCATGAGGCTTAACAATAAATGAAACCATGAGAGCAGTTCTACATATAGGGCACTAAGAACAACAGTGTACAGATAAGCTTGTAGCTCTTACTACTCAATGTGCAGTAAGAGCACATCTCTTCAGAAATGCAGTTTCCTTCATAATTGCCCTTCCTAGCCAACAGATGCCGCAGTCAGTGAAGTACTTGCCTCGACATTATTCATCTACTCAGCAGTCATGGATCTGCTCTGTACCAGGCAGTATTCTAGTTGAGGAGGATACAGTAGCTTATAAATAGACAAAAATCTCTGTTTTCATCAAATTTATGTTTTAATAAGGAGTGTAGACACATTCATGACCCTTTAGTGCGAGATCCTGGACAGTTCCTTTTACGTCTTTGGGTCAGGTTATAAGCATCTTCTCCTGTTACTTCCTCTTTGTGATGTTCACTAACACTGCACTGAAGATTTCTGAGCCTTCTGTCTTCTTGCACTGTCAGGTGTGCAGAGGTGACACTGCGCTGGCAGACCAGTATTTGCTTTGCCAGTCACAGCCTATGGGTGAATGGGAACCTAAAAGAGCTCTAAGCACACTGTATTTTACACATCTTGAAACTGAAGCTAACTACTCAGAATCAGAAAACTATGTGGAGCCAAGTCTGGCTTTCAAGATGATGCTCTGTGTACTTGTTCTGTGGACCTCAAAGGCTTTCTTTTGGAAAGTGTTCATTCTTCCATTTGTTTCTGTGATAGATTTCTCAGAGATTTGCAAGGAGATAAAGCAGTTGAAAGGGGGGAAGCTGTTGGAACAGTTAACACTCCTGTGACCTACTTAGCGCTCATTGAGTTTGTCCACAAGAGCCTGTGGAATGGAATAGGCCTGTCATCTTTGGAACAGGCCTGACTTCTGTGTCTCTACCTTGCCTCATTGACTCCGTAGCCAGTTTGACATGGACTATTTTGTGGGTGGAGATTTTCACTATGTCCTATTATTTGGTGTGGGTATGTTTTGACTCAGACTGAGAAGTCCAAGAATTCAAGATTTGATTAGATCTTTTAAGAATTCTGTCAGCCTGAGCCATTTAGAACAGTAATTTTCTATCTTAATATAACCTCTTAGAAGAAGTGGACATCTTTTTTTTTTTTTTTTTTTTTTTTTTTTTTTTTTTTTTTAATATATGTTATTCTCACATTCAATTCAAGAACTGGGCTGAACTTCATTCCCTCAGATCTTTAGGTCATTGTTTTAGTACAGGTGTAATTTTGCTCTTTAAGTTTCGCTTAGTTATTTTGTGTTGGTTGGATATCTGTTACTCTGTGATTGCAAAGTAGTCTTACAAACTGTTGAAGTGATTGCTTTTGAATTTTCTAACCACTCTGCTTACTTTCTTTCCCCACCTGTAGCCCTATTTTCTTCCAGGCAGAGCTGTGGATCAAAGAATTGTAAGTTATTGTTTTGGATATTTTTTTATTATCATTTCATTTTCATTTAGGAAGGAGTGAAGAAAAAAAAAACTAGTTAATTATCCTAATTGTTTTTACTCAGTAAAAATGACCTGTTTATTCCCTTCAGATACTGGATTTTTAAGATTCTAAGATTCTCTTAGATTAAAATAGTTTGCTTCTGCAGATTTCATGTATCTGTAATTCACATGTGCGGGTGTTTTCCCTGCATGTGTGATTATGCGTCTTGTGCATGCAGTGCCCGCAGAGGCTGGGAGGGCCGGAGGCTCTCTGGGACTGGAGTTATAAGTGGGTTGTGATGCACCCCATGGGTAATAACAGGAACCAAACCCAAGTCCTCTGGAGTTCTTAACCACTGAGCCATCTCTCCTGCCCCAGTTAGGAGATTTCTGTTTTCATATTTGTCAACTATGAAACAGTTATTGACACTAAGTTAAATTGGAAAATATTCCAAAACTAGCTATGTAAAGAATAAAGTAATTGCCTTTATTTTACCATTAAACTATTGAGTTGTTAGGGAGTTTGAGAAATAACTGAAAATATTTAGTTTCAAGTGCTAAAACCTTTTCAGTTTTCCTCAGCCCTTGGTCTTTGTGAGTGTAAATACATAAAAATTAGCTGCAGCCTTGACAGTATAGTGTTCTGTCTGCCCTCCTGGGGCTCGGCCCTGCTTTCAGATGCTCAGGGTGAAGCCTCACTCTCACCAGCCACATTGAGAGGCACACTTTTGAAACAGGGCTTTGTATTTACCAATACCCACAGAAGTCACACTAATTATATGTAAATTATCCCAGTAGAAGTGATAGAATAGTTTAAGTAACCATGTTGTTTTACTGTGTCTTGAAACATGAATGTGGTGAGGTCTAAGTGGAATTTCTGCATGTGTGAGCTCTCTTCACCACTGTTATCTGCCATGTGTTGCAGAGATGTGGTCAGAGCCGAAACGCTGATCTGACTGCTGCTTTTCATTTCCTAGAACTAGTGTTTATGATTCTCGAGCTCGGGAAAGATTGCGCCAGATTGAAGAGCAGAAGGCACTGGCACTGCGGCTTCAAAACCAGGTAAAGAAACAAGCAGTGTTGAGTAAGGACTTCTCAGTAGGTAAGAGCACTAGCTGCTTGTGCAGAGCACTCAGGTTCTGTTCCAGCATCCACATGGTGGCTCCCAACGGTCAGTGACTCCAGGTGCAGGGGATCCAGCACCCGCTCCTGCCCTTCTCAGAAACCAGGCACCCACTTGGTGTACATACAGGCAAAGCACTCACACACAAAAAATAAAAGTAAGCCGGGCGTGGTGATGCACGCCTATACTCCTAGCACTCGGGGAGGCAGAGGTAGGCGGTTCTCTGTGAGCTCAAGCCCAGCCTGGTCTACAAAGTAGTCCAGGACATCCAAGACTATACAGAGGAACCCTGTCTCAAAACAAAGCAACAACAACAACAAAAATTAAATGGATTATAAAAAAAGTAGCACACCAGGCTGTGGTGCTGGGGAGGGTCCCATGCTTGAGTGACGGCTGCACACTGGTGTAGCAGCATGGCATTAGAGTGGTTCAGTTGAAGCGTCCAGTGGTAGATTTCTTTGTCCTGCTTATTCTGAAGTTCTGTCTCCAGAGACTGCAGGAACAGGAGCATGCGGTACTTGATTCTGTAGAACTGCACCTTCGTGTACCTCTTGAAAAGGAGATTCCTGTAACAGCTGTCCAAGAAACGAGGAAAAAAAGTCACGAAATAACTGATAGTGAAAATGAATTTCCTGAAATTACAGAGGTAAAGTACATACTGCAAATTTCTACAGTAGAATTCCTATATCACAGGATGTGATAGTGAGGGCCTTTAATTCCAGCATGCTCTCACTAGAGGCAGGTGGATCTCTCTATTTGAGGCCAGCCTGGTCTACGTAGGTGTTCCAGGCCAGCCAGAGTTCCGTAGTGAGACCCTGTCTCAAAAAGAAATTCTGCGGTTGGTTTTTGTTTAGAAAAGGTGCTGTGGTCAGCTTCAGATGTATCACAGGAGAGTACCCGATGTTTAAAGTGTTCTTTTATTTGTCTTCATGCACCAATGTTTACTTTTAAAAGTGATTAAAAATTGCTGGGTTCATTATTGGTGAGTTTTAGCAGCTTCAGTGAAAAGATATGCAGTAAATTTATCTTTTATATTTGTTTTTAATCATTTTTTATATTTCAAAAAATAATTTTGTGGGTTTGGCTTGGGAGATTTTGTTCTGTTTTGATACAGTTGTGGGAATTGAGCCCAGCATTTCATATATGCTGAACTGCACCCCAGGTTCACATAGGAAATAATTCGATAGCAAATTGTGAGCTGAGAAATGCTATTTCTTTTTGTTTGTTTGTTTGTTTGTTTTTGTTTTTGTCTTATTTTTTAATTAGCATACAAAGGAATGGGTTTCATTATGACATTTTCATACATATTTTGTTTTTATAATGTTTCTTCTTAAGCAGTAATAATTCACTATGAAATTTTTGGAAAATGCTTAGAAGTCTATGCATGTTTTTAAAATCAGCTTCTTGATTCATACTTTTTCCCGTCATTGTTGGACCTGGGGTGCAGGTTGGTGGTGGATGCTGCTTCTTGGGGCAAGGCCCCTGGACCTGGATTTGATTGCCAGCACCATGAAAATGAAACAGCTACCATGTAGCCAGTGAGCTCCACATGCTTCACTGCTGCCCTAAAGTCCATGTTTTTATATCTTTAAAAGTGAAACAGAATATTGTCTCTGAAAAGAACACCTGCCTAAAGGATGCTTCTTTTACTTCATGTTACCTTTTGTGAAAGCTTTTGTTTCGTGGAAAACTACTTGAACCAGAAATATCAGACATAATGAAGCCTTTAAGGAACTAGGAAGATTTAAGCAAAGGTTATGTCAGTCTCCTGAAACTGATAGGAAACAAGGATCTGAACGTTGTGTGGAAAAGGAAGGGGAGAGCTAGGTGGGTGGGAGGCAGTAACCAGAAAGACTACTGAAGGAAGAGAAGCCGAATGTTAGATAGTCATAAACTGATAACAGTGAACTGTAGGAAGTTAAGGAATGATAAATACAGTCTGGTGAGAAACCATTTTTTTCTGAAACTATTATGTTTGCTCATTTGTTTTCTTAGGAAATGGAGAAAGAAATAAAGAATGTTTTCCGTAATGGTAACCAAGATGAAGTCCTCAGCGAAGCGTTCCGCCTGACCATTACACGCAAAGATATTCAAACTCTAAACCATCTGAATTGGCTCAATGATGAGGTAATCTTCACTTATATGATATGCAGATAGAATTACTATCTCCCTGTTTCTCAGATGACTGGAGCTGAGTCCCTCTTCCCGGCCTTTGTGTGAACAGATATGTACAGAGAAGCCTTTTACTGTCTCTCAGTGCTTCTGTGTACTTGAAAGACTGTTACTGTACATGCTGAAGGGAAGGCTATTCTCACCTGGCTATTCTTACTCTGCCTATGGCACTGCTCTGCAGTTCATATCTCTGAGCAAATATTTAACGTCTGACCTCATTGCAGCATGAGGGAAAACTTTGGGATTTCTAGTCTACTTCCTTTTCCTCCTCTGTGGCTCTAGGTTACTTAAATTGTTCATGATAAGCTTTCTAACGTAGCATTCATTTGTACATGATTGCTTTTAATTACTTGTTTTGATTTGATGTACATCGGTGTTCTGACTGGATGCATGTCTGTGTGAGGGTGTCAGATCCCCTGGAATAGTAGTTACACACAGTTGTAAGATGCCATGCGAGTGCTGGAGATTGAACCTGGGTCCTCTGGAAGACCAGGCAGTGCTCTTAACTGCTGAGTCATCTCTCCAGCCCATAGATGTGATATCTTTAAGGCCAACATTAAAAAACTAAATTGTTTTTTATGTAGTTGATAACTAGAAAAGGGGGGAATGACTTCTTACCTCCCAGTTTCAGTTAAATATATTAATTATGCCATGATCTTTAAATTTATCTGTCTTCATCGTAAACCTTTAAAAGTCTGTTTTATTTAAGAAGGGTTGTTACTTTATTTATTATTATGTGCATATAACAAGTTGAACATCTAAAAGACAAACAAAACATAGAAGATTAAGAAACTCCCAAGGTCTTAGCGCTAGTAAATAGCAGACCCAGGCACTGTGCTTACTGTAAGCCACTGCCTCAGAGTCTTAAATCAGATCTATTAGGGGATTAGATTTATAGAACTTAAGGCCATACATCATGCCCAAGACATCGATTTTCTCTGGGCCAGCTGAGCTGCTCCATTGTCTGTGCTGCTGCTTCTTTTACTAGATAAACTCTATGACTACTATTTTTTTTTACTAAAAATGATAAAGGAACACATGATTTGATGGCTCAATTAGAAACCTCACTCACATCTTTCAGCTCCTCAGGTAATGAAACACTGGAGAAGAGCTCACTGAATTAAAGAGAAAAACAAGAGTCAATAAAGTCAATAAGTGTCCTGTATAAATTGTTTTTGACCAATGATCTTTTTCCCTTTTTTCTTTTCCTGTCACTACTGGAGAAGAAAGTCAGTTATTCCAAAAAAGGATTGTAGCCTGTTTGTTATACATTATGCTAAACCTAGGGGGCAGCAGTGAGGAAGATATAAGCTGAATTCTCGTCCTTTACTGTGGCAGTTACCTCAGATTCCTTACAGAGACAGCATTCATCAGGACATACTTTCCTTTCCCTGTACCCATCAGAGGCTGGACTTAGAGCATGCAGAGTTACTGGAAATTACATGGTTTAGTGTAGATGCAGGGAAAGAAAGATCCCTTCTCTACTTTATCCCTGCCACACCTACCCATAGCGGTGGAGGGAGTGCTTTTCTTCTGAGTTCAGACCATTAACTTTCAAAGCAGGGGTAAAGCCACATCTTCAAGATGATAATATTTTAAGAAGCACCAATTTTAAGTTTCATATTTCTTGGGCTTAAATAGCTAACATTTGATGAGCTATTAGATATACTTAAATTCTAATGTTTATTTTATACTTAATTCTTTTTCAGCAATTATGAAAACTCATTCTTTGACAAGTAGCTCATGTTTTTTTGAATTCTATTCTTTCCTCAAATACTCTTGTAAATAGTCATTTTTGTTTTGTGTGTCCTGTTAGTATTATAGGATGTATTAAATAATTCTCTGCAAAACAAGGTAACTCATAAATTATTCTTACCATTGACAAAATAATTTAAGAGCTAGGAAATGAAAAGAATCAGATTCAGTTTTTAAAGAAAGAAAATCCTCAGTACTCCAAAAGAAGAGGAGGAACAGAAGGGAAAAACAGAAAAGAAAATCCAGGGCAAGAGGGGTGACCAAGCAGGTGAAGGTGTTTGCCGCCAAGGCTGGTGACCTGCTTTTGCTCCCCAAGACCCACCTAGGAAAGAACCAACTCCCACAAGTTGTCCTCTGCTTTCCACTCAGGTCTGCCATGGTATGACCATGTTCATACATGCATACATGCATGCATACATATATACATATGTGTAATAATAAAAATAAGGTTCAAAAATCCTGCATTTGGGGTATGTATGAAACCATTCTGCTACCCTGGTCTCTCTTTCTTTTCATATTTGCTTACTGTGTATTGTTTTTTTGTTTTTGTTTTTGAAACAGGATCTACATAGCCCTGGCTATCCTGGAACTCTGTAGACCAGGCTGGCCTCAAATTCACAGAGATCCACTTGCTTCAGCCCCCAACCCTTCCCACCCCCAGTGCTGGGATTAAAGACAGGCACCACCACTCCTGGCCCTGATCTCTTTTTTTAGAGAGAAAAATAAAAGCCGGGCATTGGTGATGTTCGCCTGCAATCCCAGCACTCAGAGGCAGAGGCAGGCAGATATCTGTGAGTTTGAGGCCAGCCTGGTGTACAAAGCTAGTTCCAGAAAAGCCAGAATACAAAGGGAAACCCTGTCTCGAAAAACAAAACAACAATTTCCATGCCTATTTATTCAGTATATTTTCAATTTTATTTTCATAAGTGAACTTATTAAATTCTATAGAGTTTCAGAGGTCTAATTTGAGATTTTTACTGCCACATAAGAAAACAAAACTTCTCAAAAATAGAATATGGGAACTGACTATCCTACAGAAACCACACACAATAAAAGACTGATAAAATTGATACTGTAGATGGAGATTTCTATACTGGATCAAGAAACCAGTCATTAGTAATATCTAAAAAGAGGAGAATAAGATGAAAGAGAATTCACCTTCAAAGTAGATGCGAAGTGGGCACGAAGTGAGCACGGGTTTTCAAGTGGGTGTCAGTACTAGCAACTACTAATCCTAGAGACTGGGTTCCGTGACTTCTGAAGCCATTCAGCTTTAAGATTGTGTGTTAATGCTTCTGATAGGAGGCCTGCTGTCAGCTAGATGTCTTTGCTTCTTTGAAGGCCTGAGCATTGTTGTTGTTTTGTTTTTTTTTTTAATTATACTAAACAAAACATACAAAACTATTTTCATACATTGTAAGAAGGCAGTACATCAGTTGTCCCTGAGAGAAGTGAAATAAGGGAGATATGCTCTGATCTGTAAAATCGTGGCTGTGGAGATGTAGCAATAGATACCCAGGGTGAGCTAGGGAAAAAGAAAGAAGTCCGTCAGCGAGTTCTAAGAGGTTATCAAGCAGCCCAAGTGTGCAGATGGAATCTCAAAAGAAAAGTAACAGCACAGCCAACGTGCATTTAAAAACCCAAAAGGAAAAAGATACAAAGAAGAAACGGCACAAACATACAAATGTGTGACTAAACTCAGCCATATCAACATCAAGTCGAAATGATCTACCCCGTGGTGAGGGAGGAATTAAGGTAGAGTCGACATAACAGACAACAAATATCCTGGCGCCACAGCTAACCATGTGGGCTATCTTCTTTTTATTTTTTGGATTTTGTCCATACAAGGTATCTATATATAGCCCTCCCTAGCTGTCCTGTAGACCAGGCTTGCCTTGAACTCAAAGAGATCTTCCTGCCTTTGCCGCTGCTGCTGCCTCTGACTCTGCCTACAGAGTGCTGGAAGTAAAGCAGCTGGGCTACTATTTGTAAGCTTCATCTTTGAAGAGAAAGATGTCTTTCAGCTTTTCAGCCTTGCAGTAGCCTTGTATATAGAGATAGTGTTGCTATTTGATTGCTTGTGGAAAGTAAAAGAGTAAGGCTATAAGGAAGCACCGTGTTCCATGGATCTTTTGCTGCAGAATCAAGATCTAGAGCTGGAGCTCATGCTTTTTAGTCAAGAATTCTAACTTTCAGAACACAATATTTAGTGGAAGTCCAGTGCTCAGTGCTAGAGCTCCTGCCTACCATGCAGAAGGCCCAGGGTTTTAACCTCAGCACCACACACACAAAACAGTGGAAAAGGGGGTGAGAGGGCTAGTAGTGGTCATAGTTGATGATTCTCTCGAATAGGTTGATCCTAGTAATATTCTATAGAGAGGAAATAGCCCACAAAACTTAGAACTGGGGGTAGATTTTTTTTTTTTTAAATAGTGAAGAAATCATATATCTAAGAAGGAAAGAAACTAAGTGAAGAAAATTACGTGAATATGATAGACCTGACAGGTGTGATGTATCCATGTGAATGAAACCATCAGAAACTAATGTTTGTAGGATGACACACAGGCTTCCTTCCATATCATTATAGCTGTCTTCTGGAATATTCCCCAAACTCCCTCTAATAAAACAGGACCTTAAGCAAGGTCATATGGAAAATAGTAATAATTCTTCATAAATGTAGTTGTTGCCTGTCTGTCCTTTTTTTTAAAACTTTAGCAGTAATTCTGAGCATTTGTTCTTGAATTTACACACAAGAGGACAAAATCATGGAAGCTGTATTTTCTAAGTTACTCTAGATCTTGGTCATATGCTCAGAACCATAGTCAAGTGCTGCTTTTCTTTACTTTCCTGTCTCAGTGTCTGATCAGGAGTCTTGTCATGCCCAGGACTGTTGGAGCATTTCTTCCTAAGCCAAGCACTGGGGTTCAGAGTAGACATGGAAGAGCCAAACATCAACACCTCACCGCTAGGGAATGATACTTCTAGATTTATCTGCTTTATTGGGCAAGAAAAAAAAAAGATACAAATACCAGTGACCATTTATGTTACCATGGTAACATTTGGGGTGGGGGAATGCGGCCTCCTCAGCTCTCTATCCAGTCTTAGTTTGAAAACACTGTAGGATTTTCTGGGCTGGAGAGATAGCTTAGTGTTTAAGACCACTGGAAGCTTGCAGAAGACCCAGGTTTGCTTCCCAGCACCCACATGGCAACTTAAAACCATCTGTAACTCCAGCTCCAGGGGCTCCACATAGAAGTGGTACACAGACATACATTCAAACAAAACACTCATATACATAAAATAAATGTTTTTTAATTACAAAAGAAAACACTGTAGAATTTTTCTTTAACGAGAAACTTCTTTGCAGCTTCAGGCTGGCAATACATCAAATAGAATATAAAAGGAACAAAGACACTGTAAACAATTTTCCCATCCTCAAAAAGGATGCATAGACAAGCAGACGCTCATGGCCCGGCCTCTTCCAGGAGGAGAAGGAAGTTTTTTAGGCACCAGCAGCCACAGGCAGCAGACAAGTACACGCCAGAAAGGGTGACAAGTGGCCTAGCCTAACAGTGGTTTTGAGATGTGCTTTAGTGGCAGGACAGACAGCAAGACCCCAGACGGGTGTACTTTTGCTCCGTATTTCAAAGGGGATGCAAGATCTGCTAGGCCAAGAAAATCCTGTATGGCAGAGAGAGCTCGCCGGTGGAGAAGGAAGGGACCCTTGTTTTCATAGAATACAAGCAAACGTTGTGGCTTCACGGCTTCTCTTTCATCTTGAACACTGTGATCCCTTCTCTCATTTCTTTTTCCTTCATTCCCAGGCCCCCTCAGTGAGATGCACGGAGGATTCCCTTTGTAGCTTCTTTTGAGTGTGTTGTGTCTTGGCTGAACTGTGGTAGCCCTCCTCACTGGGGGGGAGAGACTTGCGTCTAGACTAAGCCTGCATGTCAGATTGCAAATTCTCAGCTGAGGATGTGGAATGTCAGGGCCGCCAAACTCCCCCTGCTGGGGGAGAAAGAAAATGGAAAGTAACCCAGATCATACTGCAGACCCAATTAACTAGCTAGCTAGAGAAGGAAGCATTTGAAGAAAAACCTGGATGGAGGCAAGACACAGCACTGAAAAAAAGATTCTATGTCCTCCCCAGTCTTGCATTATAGTTGGTTCTTTCAGGGAGCGAGGAAAAACTGACTTGTAAAAACTTGTTTTGCTTTTAGAACTTTTTCCTTCTGAAAAATAGGATACTTACATATAACATGTCAAACCCCTCCCTCTTTTTAGGCTTCAAGCTAATGATTCCAGTGGTAACAACACTGCTGGACACCTGGGAGAAAAGTGCCTGCGTGGCTTTGTGTGCTTGACTCTCCTTAACTCTCTGCCATGTTCTCTCACCCTTCTCTTTAGTTCTTTTTGCTTGCTCAAGTATGCAAAAAGGTTGGCTCTCAGTAACTGTCTGGTTATCTGCCTATATACTGTACCTTTTGGTATAGTGAGTAACTATAACATATGTTTGGATAACATAGTAGACTGGGTAGATTCTACCCAATTCTCTGAGAGGAAACTTATCCATACTTTTCGCTTAATTTTCTCTCAGTAGAGATTGTAGTTTACTATCTGGAAATCTGTGCTTGCCTGGGCCAATACGCCTGCGTTAAAAGCTATTTTTACATATGGAGATACATCATTTAGGACCATTGTTTTCTGGCAGTTAAACTGAATACCTATATTTGAAAACACACCATCTGATTGTACCTTGATTGCTTTTCATTATTTAAAACAACCAAGAACTGGTTAGCTTCTGCACATAGAAAAGCCACAACCTAAGTCCTCTGCTTCCTCGGGGTCTACTGTGTAGTGATCAGAGCCTCAGGCAGAACCCTGTCTTCAGACCTGGCCCCTGTTGCCTTAGAGCTCTTCATTCAGTTTCCCTGAAGCTGCCTCTACATCTGTATCTGTAGGCCCTTTCTCTGCTCTAGACCATGCTCGGGTGTGTTCCTGGCAGTGCTCCCTGCTGTTGGACAGTGCCTCACTGCTCTGGCATCCTGGTGTGTAAATATTTGTCAAAGGACAGGGGCATTTTCCCATTCCTCAAAAAACATTCTGAAAAAATGTGCCTGTTTTCATAGTCATATTTCCAAGCTGTGGCTCAGTTAGCCCATTCATTCCTTTTAGTTGACAGACACTGGCCTGGCCTCAGCTATTCACATTAGTAAGTATGCTGTAAGTTTGGGCCCAGCAACTTTTAAGCTTTCATACCAGGGAGTCGTGGACCTCCTGGAACCGCAGACAGCATGGTTACTGTTGTAGAAGACTTTGCTTTGTTGGCAGGAAGAATTGTGCGTCTCCTCTATCAAGCATTTACATTTGTTGTACTCATACTTGATATTGAAGGAGTAATGCAGTCAACAGAGACAAGAAAGCTAAACACCTAGGTTCTTCATGCTTACAACTTGACTCTTAGGTCTTTAACAAAAATGATTCTCCACTACATCATGTCTTGCTCCTAAATGAAATTGCTGGGCTATTGCAGGTATTTTTCTAGTTTGTCTCACGGTTTTCTAGTCACTTCGATCTGCTTGAAACCTAAGCAGTTTGCCACTGCAGTGTGGCTGATAAGGCTTCAGATGCGGAGCTGGGTTCTCTCTTTGTACAGACCATGTAACATTCAAAGTCTTTAATACCGGCACTCAGCAGTCAAACAGGAGATGTACCACAGGTTCGAGGCTAGCTTAGGCTGTATAGTGAGTTCAGGCCAGTCTGCTACGGGGGAGACCCTGTCTCAACACAGAGGAAGGAGAGGGAAATTGTCAGAGCGAGAGGAAGAAGAAAAGGGTGTAGGAAGAATAAGAACTGAGCCAGGATCCACTTGCTCAGTATAAAGATATTAAAGTAGCTGCTCTTGCGCTCCTTTGTTTCCTTTTTTCTGAAGCCTCATCTCTCTCCTTAACTTTAGTTTTTTACAAGTCTAGCTAGCATCTACCTATTTGTTCTGGTTTCCAGCAGTTAGCTTAGTTGTGTGATACTTTCAGAAGTATGATTAATAAAATCTTTATATTGAGTAAAAATTGGCTATTTTAAATCTCTCTGTTGAAGCATTCATTGAGTTGGCTAGGATCCATAACATAATATATAAACATATGGTAATGACATGCTAATTATTCAGTATAATAGCTGCTCTCTCCCTGTTGTTCCACTGTCTTGACTGTTCTAATGTGTAATGTCTTCCTGCAGATCATCAATTTCTACATGAATATGCTAATGGAACGCAGTAAAGAGAAGGGATTTCCAAGTGTACATGCATTTAATACCTTTTTCTTCACTAAGTTAAAAACTGCTGGTTATCAGGCGGTGAAACGGTGGACAAAGAAAGTGGATATATTTTCTGTTGACATTCTTCTGGTGCCCATTCACTTGGGGGTACACTGGTGTCTAGCTGTGAGTAACTCCTTTATTTTTGATGACATGAAATCTACACAGACATGGGGGTTATAAGTTCTACTTCTTTGCTTGATTATAGGGGAGGTATGACTTAGTGGTGGTGACTTGACTAAAACTCAGGTAAATCAGTGAATTTCTTATCCACAGTAGGAGATGCTTAGACTTGGAAGTTATGGGCCATCTAGCCACCTCAGCTTGAGACAAAGGGAAAAAGGATGTTCGTAATGCCACCAACTCCAGCTCAGCCTGCTACTTCCTGCCTAGTTGTAACTTGCCTTGTGTTGTTGGGGGGGGGGGGTAGCGTTTCTGTGACTCTGGGAGCGTATATACATTAATGTTAATAAAAGTTATTGTATATTCTGTTTTGAATTATATTTAAAGATACCAATCTAAAAAGAAAATCTCAAGATAAAGACAAACCCAGAATCTTGTCACAATCTTTCTTAAACTGTGGAAATGATCTTAAGATAGTTAATTAATTTTTTTTGAATCATGCGTTGTTGGTCAGAGAGAGATTGAGCTGTAGAAAAATATTTCAGGCCAGTTAATAGACCACCAATTGATTGGCTTCCAGCACTACTCTACATAAATACTTGTTAATAAACACTTGTTCTTAAGCATAATATACTGCAAAACATTCACCAAACTCGTCACAGTTTCACACAAAGTCTGGGGAAGGGTCAAGGCTGAGGGAGGAAAGCTGACGGTACACTGGTGTCCTCACTGTTTTGCCTTGTTCCAGGTTGTAGACTTCAGAAAAAAGAGCATCACCTACTATGATTCTATGGGCGGAATTAACAATGAAGCCTGCAGGATCCTCTTGTAAGTGCGAGTTGAGGACAGAAGAAATTGCCATTGCTTTCTCTGTCTTTCCGTAGCCAAACTCATTATCTGATACCTTCAAAGACATGATTAATGGCATTGTCACATCAGTGAAAACCCATGTTTTAAAATCAAGTGAGGTTAATACTTGAATATGTGTTAATGAGGGCAGTTGCTATCTTGCTACACTAAAAGCTAGCATAACTATATACATAGAAATATGGTCAACAGAACTCACTTAATTCAGCTGTCTGAAATTTAAATGAAAGAATCAAGTCCCACTATGTAGTGGCTCCTTGGAAATTAGAAAGCAAATGTCTTATACCCTACTTGTTTCTCTTTCTACAACACCTATTGCTTGTAACGCAACTAGTATATAGCCAGAAGGAAGTAGATTCCTGAAAAGTGAGTAAAAAGTATTCACTTAAAAAGAGTACTCTTGGGCTAGGGAGAGGCTCAGAGGCTAACGGGCTTCTTATACAAGCATGAGAACCATAGTTTGGACTTCCAGGACTCACATAAATGCTGTGTGTGCATGGTTCCCTCCTAACTCCATCCTTGGAAGGCAGAGACAAAGATCCCCAGAGCAAATTGGCTAGCAAGACTAATAGTATCAGTGAGCTCTGGATTTGATTGAGAGACCCTGCCTCAATGAACAAGGTTGGGTAGTGGTTAAGGGTGACTCCTGATGTCATTCTTGATCAGGCCTCTACAAGCACACCATACACATGCTCTCACCTACATATGTCTGAACACATGCACATAACCACACACACATACATAAAAATTGGAAAGGAATCCTCTAAATATATTGTGCTATCTTGGTTTGGGGTTTTGTTTTGATTTTTTGAGATAGGTTTTCTCTATGTAGCCCTGACTGTCCTGAAACTCATTCTGTAGTCTCAAACTCAAAGATCTACCTGCCTCCCCGGACTGGGATTAAAGGCGTACACCACCACTGCCCAGATTGAATTTGTACTTGTTAAATTGTAGGTTTGCATTGAACTTTTACTAGGAGATCCTAAACTACCAGTGTTAAAGTACATACCCTGAAACTGCTAGAAATATTTTGAATAATATATATAATTTAATAATAAATTATTCATTTATTGATAACTCTAAAAGGACCATACAAACCAAGAAAAATAATTCAAAATTGTTCCTTAGAAAGGTCAGTAGACTGAAGAACTTTAGAAAGAAGAATATTACCTATCAGGAAAAGGAGAGGTAGAGGTCCCATTCCTCCTGGGTCAGCAGAGTAGGCTGATGGTGGGAGTTTCAAGAGTTGGCTTCCAAGGATTGCCACACCCTTTCTTTGGGTGGTGGCGGCCATCACAGCTGCGCACAGCTCATCTCATTCTCTTCCAATGTCTTTAGGCAATACCTAAAGCAAGAAAGTGTCGACAAAAAAAGGAAAGAGTTTGACACCAATGGCTGGCAGCTCTTCAGCAAGAAAAGCCAGGTACATTTCATGTTGCTGTCAGATAAGCCCTTAACGACTAGGGTGTGTGGGGAGGAGAGAGTTTTAGTTGATGTTAATTCCCAGGGGCTCCCTAGCTTTATGTTTAGCCTGACTTCAGCTTTGTCTGGTTCCTCATGGAAGATGAATTATTTGTGGGAAAGCTCATATCGTGTTTCTTGTGTAAAACTGTTTTCTAAATGCAGAGCTGTTTCACCGAGATTTTTACTCCTGTGAGAAATACTTGTTGACTATTTGATGCTTAGTGGAAGGACTAGTTTCTATACCGTTAGGTGCCATGAAAATCTGAGATAGTTCCCCGTGTGATTAATATGAAGGAAAACACAAAGGTGAGACTAAAATGCTACATCAAAAAAAAAAAAAAAAAAAAATCCCCTTCTTCTTAAACTTTATTGTCTGAAATAGGAGACCCAAGGTCATCAAGGTCATGTGTTCAAAATTTAGGGAAATGGTATAAAATTGATAAAGAAATTTGCAAAAATATTGTGGTGTTGTTGTTGGTCTTTTAGGAAATTCCACAACAGATGAATGGAAGTGACTGTGGGATGTTTGCTTGCAAATATGCTGACTGTATTACCAAAGACAGACCAATCAACTTCACACAGGTGAGGCGGACCTTCAGGGCATAGCCTAGGCACCTGACACCCACGCTGTGCAGAGCTGCTGCCTTCTTCTCTAACTGTTCTGTGGAGCCTCTGGTGACCTCTGCATGCTTCAGAACACTGTACAAAAGAAGACAGTGACGGTCCACACCAGGGTACCCCATGTCACGTATGGTAGTGAGTTTGGGCTAAACAGAAAGCTTTATGCTCTGTTCATCTCCCCCACCTACCTCTAATCTTAAAGAAAACGCAAAACTGGAATCAAAAGCCATCCTCAGTTCCCCTGAGTTAAGCATTCAGGGTTTGGACTAGACCCTGGTAAATCGCATGCACCTGTTACAACGCTCCTATCCTTGTCCTTTTTTTTAGTGCATCTGGTCTGTTTGTCTCACCAGGTACTTGGTCATTTTTCTACATATTGTCCTGAGCCAAAGTGGATTAAGACAAGAAATTATGGCTTATTCTGATGTGTTTTCTACTTTTCACTTCTGTTTGAATCAGTGTCCTTTCTAGATTTTGTCTCAACCAGGGCTTCATTTTTTCTTTTGCTGAGGCTAGAGAGATGGCCCAGTGGTTTAAGAGCACTTGCAGCTCTTCCAGAGGACCTGGATTTAATTCCTAGCACACACACAATATATATATATATTTATATTTATAAATATATATATAAATATATATAAAATTTATATAAAATATATATATATTTATATTTATATATTTATTTATTTTTATTTATATTTATATATACATTACCATATACAGCATTATAATTACAGTTCCAGGAGATCCATCACCCTCTTCTGCTTCCACAGATACTACTATGTATGAAGAAAGAATTCATAAAGAGTCTTTAAAAGGAAACAAAAATTTACCATTGGTTTTTACCCAAGAAGTTTTTACATGACTCTACATTACACCTATATTAAATAGATAAATGAAACGTATACTGATAATAAATCAAAGAATTTGTTTTAAAACAGTTCTCCGGTATACATATAATTTTACAGTTGATTAAAGACAAAAGCCAGTGCACAGAAATGAGATCGATGTTTTTGTTTTGCATAAAGAATTGAGTCTGCTGATGTTATAGGATAGAGCCCGCCTCCATCGCTATTCAGAGTTGATGGATAGCTTGGTTTTCTAACCAGCAATGCCGAGAATGCTGTTGCTGTACTGCAGTGCTGGCAGTGTAGGACAAGATGGCCGCAGAGTGAGAGTCAAGTCAAGCAGCAATTTTTAAATATTTATAATTTGGGGGGAAGGGACCAACAAGCATGTGGAGGTCAGAAGACAACTTGTAGGAATTGTTTCTCTCTTTCTCCCAAGGGTTGAATTCATGTCATCATGCTTGGTAGCAAGTGTCTTTACTCACTGAGCCATCTCACTGGCCCAAACCTTAATTTTTAAAATCAAAATTCTAGCACAATACAATACAGAGTGATGCCAGTATGATGTCACGTGCTAAGGACTGATGGTGGGCTAAAACTCCTTGTTTCTCACATTTAAACCGTTATGTTTCTGCAAGAGCAGAAAATGTTATGTATGAGTGAAAACAATACATTCATAATGTACCATGGTCTAGAATCTCTACTCGGTGTTTCTGGCAACATTAGTTGGCAGTCTGTGCTGTCACAGACCACAAAGTGCAGAGTGTGTTATACGTGCAGAGTCGGGGCTGCAGTGAAGTTGTACAGCACAGAGAGCTCTGCCAGAAGCACCTTAGATTCATTGTACATTTGAGCCTGAATTCATTTTTGGACATGGTATGACCAGAAAATGTTTACTGTCTTCAGGTTTTTAACACTTACCATTATCAGTTATAAATTTAGATACCTGTATGGGGTCACAGCCCAGAGTTTAAGAGAATCCTTGGGAAAACTGGGAGTGGTGGCATACTTTTTTAATCCTGGCACTCAGAAGCAGAAGGCCAGTCTCTATAAGTTAGAGGACAGCCTGGACCACATAGAGATTTAGTAGCCAGGCTACATAGCCAAGTTACATATAACCAAGAATGAACAGTTTGGAAGACCAGAAATGTCACTGAGTCTGTTAGCTGAAAACCTTAAGGAGAAAGGGAGCATGGAGAAAGGAGTATTGTACTTACAGAAGTGAACACTAAGAGTATGTCTGTGTCCCTACAGCAACACATGCCATATTTCCGGAAGCGAATGGTCTGGGAGATCCTCCACCGGAAGCTGTTGTGAAGACTGTCTCAGTGAGCAGACATCAGCAGTGTCGGAGACCAGCGCTTTGCCATCGACATCCAGAGACCTTGGAAACAGCTGCTCCTAACCCCCTGTTCCTGTACAGCCCTTGGTCCTGGACCAGACCAGGCGAGATGCATTCACAAGCACATCTGCCTTTCCTTTTGTATCTCAGATACTATTTTTGCAAAGAAACTTTGGTGCTGTGAAAGGGGTGAGGGACATCCCTACGCTGAAGAAAGAGAGTGCTTTTCACTTCAGTTCTGCCATCTTGTTTTCAAAGGGCTCCAGCCTCACTGAGTCCCTAACTAGGAGCCCAAGGGAAACTCGGAAGAATCTTGGTTTCATATAAACTCTTGTTGCTAGGCCTTACCGAGAAGTAGGAAAAAGAAAGGACAGCAGGAAGGGATAAAAACCACCAGCAAGTAGACAAACACATGATTCCCAAGATGCAGACTTAGGAATGGGACTATAGACTGGACACTGAGGCACAAGCTTGTGTCCCCTCCTCCAGAACCTTCCTGTTTATGTGCCCCGGTTTGAAAATGAACTGCTTTTCCTCAGAGCTGTTTTCTCACTGGTACAGCCATCCCATCGTGAGCACACTGCACAAGCCCCGGCAGGCCCTAAAGTTGAAAGCAGCCCTTTGTGCCAGTGTGCACGTGCTGTGGGAGGACCCCCCGCAAGTGCTGAGCGCAGCAACAAGGCCCCAGCTTCACTGTTGCCTGCTTCTGACTAGGAAGAAAGACCTTGGCCTTTAGCATCAAACATCAGAGTTGGATGAATACAGATCTAGTTGGTCTGTGGCTAGTTAGTTTAAATATGTTTCTAACCACAGAGAATTTTATATACATATATATCTATATGTGTGTATACATACATAATACACACACACACAGTGTGAAATATATATTTCACAGGGATATGCTTTTAAAAGAGAAAGAGACTGAATGTGTTCACCATTTAGTCTGCAGGTTTATTTTCATCTTTCAAATCCCAGCACACAGTGATCCCAATAAGCCCTGTGTACTGGGCATCTGTAGACTTCCTAAGAATATTTTGAGACCTGGATGAATCTGGTTTAGGAGTAAAGGTTATCAAGGGAAATGATGGTGTCAGCTGAAAAATGGGTGGAGCTTGGACTGATCAACTTTAGACTGATAAACTGCTAGTTCTTTTGTTCTTTCTAGCATCTCTCCCACCCTCCCAGAGCTCCTAAGGTTTAGATGGTGAGATGACCCAATGCCAGTGTCATTTTGTACTTAAGTTCCAAGGCAGGAACATTTTATACTTTTTCTGTATTGTAATAGGTAGTTTTATATAAAATCTTTTCTCCTCTTCCCCTTGTACCCCATCCCTTCCAGCATTGTGCTTTCTCCTTGGGCTTATTTGAAAATTTTACTCTGTTTTATACCAGGCTTGTTTAGTATACATTTTTCTATGTTTTACCACAAGTTACAATTTGAAAACAACTATTTTTTTTAATATTCCATTGTTAAACTGAATGTGACCGTGTCCACTCCAGCAACCATGTCCTCCCTCTTCCCTTTCTCCCTGCATGTTGGAGGACGAGACCCCTTTGTACATTTGTTTCTTTCTTGCTGCTTCTCCTCTTTCCTCGCTTTTTCTTTTGATTTTCCATAGGAAATAAATAGCTTTCTCTCTATGAGTTGCTGGGACCTTTTACACTCTCCTTTAGAAAACTGTGGCATGCAGACTCACAGTAGGACTCCTAGAGTATCATTCGATTCTTGGTACTTACTATATTTAAGTGACAGCTTACACTGCGGCAGTTTAGACTGTTAATCTAAAGACAAGCTTTAGCTTTTCAGGCTTTTTTTTTTTTTTTCCCACTATTATCTGGGGCTCACCACAAGATAGTTTTCTGTGTTTGTTGTTTGTTTGTTGTTTGTTTTATTTTTCTCAGAGACTTTTTGTATGGACCAAAGCAACTAATATTTATTGTCATGTATAGCAGAATATGAGACATGCAACAAAAGCACTTTGCAAATTATATAAAATTATTGAGCTGTCTGAAGCTGTCTCCCTTCTCCAATGCAGTTTAAATGTATCAGGTAAAAGCTAGTGATCCTAAGGCTACTGTGTCTCCCTAGAGGGTCAGGCTGTGGCAGGATAGCTTAGTGGGAACCAAATGCAGCCTTTATAGTAGGCCATTCTTAGAGAGCCAGCCAGCAGGAGCAGGACAAGTATCTGGAAACTTCCTTAATTCAAGAGTAAGCTTTGATGACCAAGACTGAGGATGTTTCTGTATTTCATGGACAAGAGTATGCTACCAGTGTCTTGCTCAAGTTGTTTTAAACGAAATATGCCTATTTTTTTCCTTCTCTTTGTCTCTTTTTTTCTGTGTTCAATACCCATCTCCCCTCCCTTACAAAAGAAATATTTGAAGGCTGATAAGCATGACATGGCAGTCATATACTCCTCAACAAAACCCATGATCCCAGCAGTCATCCCTGGCCTGAGGGCAGAGAAAAGAAGACTTTCTGCCTTTTGAGAACATGTGCTGCGGTGTGTGGAAGCTAATCCGTTCGATCACTTGAGACTACTGTGGCTCCCAGGAGTCCTGTGTCGGGTTCGGTGTAGTTACTTTCCACCATCATAAGGCCTAGCAACTTGCTGTCAGTTCACTCTCCTATGGGCGGCAAGCACAACCTTCTATTCTTAGCCAGTGTAGTCATAGTAGTCTCTCCTGCTCACCGCCCTCAGCACTGCTGGCTTTAGTGTTTAATGGTTCAAGGGCACAGCAGATAACCTGGTAAGGGTTCCCACCCGTCCATCTCACAGCCTGCCCATCATCACCACCCAGTTTTACACAGCCCATGCTATGATCGATCACTAGATTAAGAAGGAGAAGGTTCATTAAAGAGCTCCTTTGTTTTTAAATCTTAACCTCCCATCTTTCAAAAACCATCAGAGTGAAAAGTGGCTAACTCTTGATTGCCTCATTTTGTTTTTCCTTGCTCTGTCTGCGTGGCCAATGCTAGGTGGAGTAAGATACTTAAAGCTGAAGGTCAGTATCAACACGGGCTTGGTGGTAGAATCAAGGCTACACAAGAACCTTGCTACATCCAGCGTACCTAGATGCAGGCCTTTGTTCCTTCTGAGCTGAGGAACAGCCATCCATTATTTGACTTCTAAAGATGGCCTTATCCCTGAGAGCCAGTTTCTAGGAAAGGCAAATGGGAGCGAGGTACCCAAGAGCGCAGGCTCCATTCTGCTCGGGCACCCTCATTCAGTAATAGTCTTTTCCTAAGTATGTACACCCAGATCTGATTTAAAGCCCTCCCTGGTCTCACTATCTTACTCTTGTCCGGACTTGTATAGTCCTAATGAGGGAATGGCCTAACTTCCGCCTGCTGGTCTTGTCATCTGCCTTTCTCATTGGGGCGGACCAGAGCATGCAACTGACTGTCAAGGCCAGGAGAATGGATGGTACTGTTTGCTCTAGCCCGGAGCACAGGCTTCTGTGTTCTGTTCTGTCAAGGATGCACCGGGGCTCATTCTCTGGAACTTCGCTTTAGAATACTAGTGTTGTGAGGGTGTGAGGAAGGGTTGGTTCCTCATCGTAACTTCCAAATGCTGCAGTCCCAGAGCGTTCCCTCTGCTCTCCAACAGTGCTGCACTCGGCCTTCAACAAAAGCACTTCATTAGTTCATCATGCTGCCCTCTGGGGTTCTCGGGCTCTACCCCACAAGGCTCATCAGAACATCTTAACCCTGTAGGTAGGTTCCTCTTCCATCCTGTGTATTGACAAGGATATCCCTTGCATATTCAGACGATGGGTCCCTTTCTCTTTGTCTTGCCCTCTAAAGGCACTTGCCTTACCTGAAACTCACTGGGTATTTTGTAAGTGTGAGGCCAACCACTGAACTTAGGGGTTCTGGCGGGTGAGAAAAGACAGTTTCACAAAGGAAATAAAAGCCACCTTGTCCTCAGGGTCTTCGAGTCTGTAAGTTTATAGTTTGCCTGATCCAGGAGGCCAAGCAAACACAAATATACCTTGTGGAGAATACAGGCTTATTAGCTGAAGTGGAGGAAAGGACGGAGGTAGATGTGTCAGGGATGATGTTGCCTTTATCTCTATCTGTGACTCCTAGGGGTTTTTTGTTGTTGTTTTTTTAATTGATTTATTTAAAATAAATTCTGTGGATTTTGCTTCTGTGCTCTGACTGGGGACTCCCTGGACTCAGTAGTATATTTGTTCCTGAGACTGTTCTGTCTCCTCATATACGATTATGAAATATATGTATATATGTGTATTTATACACATCTACATAGGTACCTCCCATCTGTGTGCAGACCCAAACAGGACCAGGGATTGGATCCTCACTGTGGCCTGGATTTCGGAATCCACCTCTTAACCAGGAGACTGAATACTGTTCATTCATTCGTTTCATTCTGCGTACCCGCAAGTGAAGCCTGGAACACAAATAACATGCAAATCTGAGGCTTTCTGGAGTTTTTGTTTTGTTTTGTTTAACTAACCCTGTCTGCAGAGCTGCCAGGTGCACCAGCCAGGACTCCTCCGAGCGACTGCTCACTGCACCTTTTGTCTCATTGCTTTCCTGCGCCCCTTTCTCACCAGATTGTCTCGGTACAGCTCAGGCTCACAAGGGTGGAACTAGGAAACAGCCACTGGAAGCCCTGTGGAGAAACATTTGTCTGTTGGACTTGGACGGCCCAGGTTGTCTCTGGACAGGTTTTTGAATTCTGGGGTTTTTAAGGCATGATTAAGGTTTGTTGTTGTTGTTGTTGTTTGTTTGTTTGTTTGTTTTTTCAAACTTTTCATAATGGCTGGAGTGAGGAAAGAACCCTATTAACCATGTTTATGGTTAGATAACTGGCCTGCCTCCTCTCCACCTGACGCCAGACAAGGAGACTGTTCTCAGAGTGGGCTTGTACCCAGTGTCCATAAAAGACATCTCCCCAGCCGCTCCTGGGTGGTACTTGCTAGTGGCTCTGCAGAAAGTTCCGAAGGAAAGGGGGTGGGTGCTGGCTTTTCAGGCCCCAGACACTTCTCAGACCTAGGGGAGACCTTCATCTCCTGTGTACGTTTACTGTGAGTGTACACAATGAATGTATACCTCTGCCTGTGTACATTGACTGTGAGCCCATTACAGGCCTGGCAAAACCCTACATCGGGCTCAGCACCTCTCTATCACCTGCTCCTCCCCCATGCTGCTTGGTGTTACCGTGCTGGCCTTTTGCCACTGTTTGACAAGAAGGCATTCCTTTAGCTCACTGCTTCCGCTAACTGTTGGAATACCTTGAGTCTACAGCTTCCTCACTCAGTTTTCTCTTCTGTACTTAACAGCATCTGGGTGTCAGGAACTGATTCGTGTGAAGTACCTCTTGCTAAAGCGTCTACGCTCCTCCTGGTGTCTAAAACAACTGAAAGAGACAGACTGGTTGAAGGAATGAGTGGATTGCTATCATGGACATCTCCAAGTTGGGTGTTGATTCAAACAACAGTTTTGTTTCAGGCTGGCCGCGAGTCTGTTATGTAGCCAAGGGTGATTTTGAACTCCTGATCCTCCTCCCTGTCTCCCAAGTGTGTATCACAGCTGGCCATTTTTATTTCTTGTTTTTGTTTTATGCTTTGCTTAAATGTAGTTTTCCTTCTTTTTATGTATGTGGGCATTTTGCGTGCATATATGTTTGTACATGCCTATTGCCTGCAGAGGCCAGAAGAGGGCAACATCCCCTGGAACTGGGGTGACAGACAGCTGTGAGCCACTGTAAGGGTGCCGGGAATTGAATCTGAGCCTTTCGGAAGAGTAGCTAGTCTTAACTGCCCTCCAGTCTCATGGGTCCATTTTCTGAGAGTCTCACAGTATAGCCATCTTTTGATCCTGAGTGCTGGGATTCATTCTCCTAAATGTTGGAATTGTAGTGTGTGCCTTGTTACCTTGGCTTCCTTTTTGAGATACTTGTTTTGAAGAAAGGGTCTCACTAGGAACTCTGGCTGATCTGGAACTCACTGTGTATCCAGGCTTGCCCCCAGCCTCTCGAAGCCTGCCAGGTGCCAGGCTGGCCCCTAATCTAAGTTCTTCCAGTTGCTTTTCAGCTTAGCAGCTAAAGCCATTTTCCAATAGCACTGATAGTATGCTAACTATAAATGTTAAGACCCTGGTCTCATACCTACGTGCCAAACACTTGATATGCATTGCTTCACTAACCCTTACAAGTCTGTCAGCACTTCTGAAGTGAGAAGACAGAGTGTGGACGCTGCTGCATGCTCACAGGGAAACGCCTGACCAAAACGTTGAAACCCAGGCAGAGAGCCTTTCCTGAGATCCACCCAACCCCTCCTCTCCCGGGAATGAGATTGGGTCTTTACTCAGCTTTTCACCGTAGTGTTGGAGGGTGCCCTTGGATTCACTTTTCTCTTGATTTCTTCAGGCCACAGGTAACAGGGTTCCCTTCCACCCTTCCCCAAGAGCCATTTTTCTCTTCACTACCTATCCAATAGTTTCTTTGGTCTCATCTAACCGAGAAAAAAAGGTTAGCCTAAGGATAGAGGGTAATGAATTACAGAGTCACCAGGCGGCCTTAGCCCAGGATGCAAGCAAGATTTGCAATAGGTAAGAGCATCCACCCACCCACCTTCAAAAAAACCCTGTAGGTATTTCTGTCTTTCCACCTCTGCCTCACTCATTCTTGTCAGTGTGGAGTTTCCTCTGCCCTGGCTTGAGAATCTCAGGAATGTGGAATGCCCTCCCTCTGTCCCTCACTCCCCCCCCCCCCAACACACACACACACACACACACGCACTCTCTAAACCCCTTTGCCCTGTGAGGGAAGTTTTATTCAAGGAGCTAAGGGGGAGGAGTCCTGACCTGGAAAAGAAAAGCAATCCCCTCTCAGCCCTTCCCCCACCCTCTGCTACTCTTCAAATCATTCAGCCACTTTTCATCACAGATGGCTTCCACCCTCACCAGAGGCCTCTCTTGATGGTAATTGCTCTTAATTGTTTTCCCTGGCTTACAGGGCCTTTCTTGGCTGCCCTGAGCCCACAGCTCTCTTGCATTTGCTTAGAACATGGGACTCAGTGAGTGGGGCCGGGGAGAGGGATTGGCAAGCCTCTTTGGACCCCAAACTGAGGCTTTCAAGATGTAATTTAGAGGGAAGGCTCAGAGAATAGTAACTAGAAAAGCAAGTTCCTTCCCTAAGACTCCCAGTATTAGGGATCTATGAGGTCTGTCAAAGGGAATGGTTGCACTCCTAAGTGCAGTTGGAGAAAGGGCTGGTGTCCCTTTCTCCTTCAGCTGGGCTACTCATCCTGATTCATTCTACCTCCAGGAAATGGGTCCCAAGTAATCTAATACACTGGTTAGAAAAGGGTTTGGGGGTGACAGCCAGAGAGAAGGCATAGAAACATTTTATTGGGTTTGTATTTACTGCACTGCCTGTGGTGTGCCAGGCTCCTGCACTAGTACTAGAAGCTTTCTGTCCCCTGGTGCATCTTGCTCTAGCACCAGCCCTGTGCCATAGTCAGTTCCATGGCTCCTGGCAGCCTGAGCTAACCTCCCCCTCCCCCAGTCACCTGCTGCTCACTTCACCTGACTGCAGCTTCACCCAGCTGCACCACGCCTTTTCTGGTGGGCACAGCATCCTTTCTGAGAGGCATCCAGAGGAGTAGACGTAAGATGGAGAACGGGCCAGTTTCATATTACCTCTGAAGTAGTCTCATAAATATGTCAGAAAGGCTTCAGGCTGAGAACGTTACTTTAGATACCACGATGTTTGGGTCAAGATATGAGGTAAGATGTTTATAAAAATTTCTTCATGGGCAGATGATTATTTTCTGTCTGTATATCCATCTATCCACCTGTCTTCTGCCCTCTACTCAGCCACTCACTCCTTTAGGTCCCACTCTGTGCCAGGCCCTGGGGTATGTTGTTCGTCTCCATGAGTCTGTTTTTTGGTTCCAGGAACCTGTGTCAGCTCCAGTTAATTCTTCAGAAAGCAGATCTCCATTCTGTCATGTCGGGGACCAGACTCCAACCCAGGAGGTCTTCCAGTGGATAACTAGAAGTCTTAAACCAGAGGCCATTGATAATTAGGGCCAGGATGGTAGTTGGAGGAATAAGGAAGGCACCCAGCCAGCCCATCACTGGTTTGGCTCTGCTGGTTTAAAAAAACAAAAAAACAAAAAAACAGGCTTGGACAACCATCTCCCTGTGTCCTGTGCTCCAGGCTGCTCCCAGACAGGAGTCACTCCATTAAACAAACCCTTGCCAAGGGCAACAGGGGCCTGGACACAGAGAGGTCTGGAAGGGGGAAAGGGAACATGGGCCCTGGACCAGACTTGAGCCTGCCTGTTCATTAAGATAAAACTGTAAAACTGCAAGTAGGAGCATATAAAGTGGACGCTGAAACTGAGCTAGGAAGGAGAAAGCCACACTCAGGATCCCAGACGCTGGCCAGGGCACACCTGAAGTTGACATGGCCATATGAGTAGTTTCCTTGCTGGAGCCTGGTCGAGAGAAGATTAGCAGAAGAGATAGCAAAACACTGGGTGAGGCACCGACACATGCTCTCCTGAGCTGCAGCTTATGGGGCGGCTTCTGCATATTGCCTCATTCTAAAATCAGAAGGACTGTGTACTTTGGGCTTCTCAGGCCTCTCCCCTTTCTACATGTGGCTGAGGTGGAGTTAATGGGACCTGCACACAGAGGCTCACACAGCCTTAAAGACAGAGGCCCATTCATTCCAAGAGCCGCAAAGCACCTCTCAGGCTGGCCTGTAGACCTAGTCCTGTCCCTAGCAAGGAGTCCCTTGCTCCTGTGCAAGGGAGCGACGTGCATCTCTGCACATGCAGCCTTGCCCTCAGGCACACACAAAAGCCACACTCAAGCTCTTTCACCCCTCCCCACCACATGCCTCTTGGCTCGGTCTCTGGCTGTGCCTTTCTCACTTTTTTACCCAATGATGGGCCTGTTGGAGTTACCTCTAACAACCTTCTGGACCCCACCAGGCAGCCTACCTTAGTGGTACTTGTGAAACCTCTAAGATTTAGGAGGAGAGGTAAACATTATCTTAGCCAAAGAACGACATGGAGCCATCACCTGCCGCAGAGGAAGGAGGTTCAAGTGACAGCTGTGCCACTAGCAAGCTTTGAGACCAGAGCTATGGCATGCTAAGGGGTCCCT